CTCATACATTTCCTCCACCTCCTCATCGGGATGTGCCGAGGTTGGTGCGTAAGCCTGTATGACCTTAAAAGAATACCGTTTGGTGATTCTGAGTATAAGGTTCACAACCCTCGCCGACAAGACGATAAATCCAACACCTCCTTGGGACAGATGGTGATCGCCCTCCCGGTTACAGAACAAGTTGCCGGATTAGATGATTACAGTGTCCTCCCCTGCTCTTCGGATCTCAGATAATTCTATAATATCCCAGCGCAACTTATCTATTTCTTCTCCCAGCTCCAGGATCTTCTCGTCAGTACTCAGGGGCTTGCGTTTTATGATGTCAGGTCGAGTTGTCTTAGGTGGCCAGCGAACCTCCACCGGAGATTCTAGCACCCCCTGCTCCGCCGTTACCATGGGCGCCGCCGTAGCCAGGAATAGCGGAGCCACCGGGAACTGGGGGCCATCTCTTCGTAACTGTATTCATGGGGGGTATATTGTGATAGTAGATAGGTAATGGCCACGCTTAGTGAACGGGCGTGCAACCGCAGTATTTTTATTGCCACTGTCATTTCCCACTATCGCTTCTTACGACTTCCACTTCACTTCCTACATGGAAACTTTTCCGTTACAGCCTGTTAAAATCCACTGTTGAATATAGGCCTCCCCTATAGATTTCCTTATAGGGGGATATTTGCCATAGTTACCACGTTTTGGCAAGCTGGTTGGCAACCGCAGGTTATCATTTCTAGTCGTTATTAGGTAGACGTTGCTGCCCATATCCTGATTTGTTTCTCTCATTAGCCTTTAACGACACCCACGGGATGATATGGGGTAGTGAGTATTCTTACACCGCTACTATACGGTCATATATAAAAAAAATAAAAATAAAAATAACCAATAAAACACATAATTCAGTAACTTACTCGTATATTTTTTGAAAATACTTGATACAATGTACAGTTTTGGACTTAAATTTAGGAGACTTAAAATTAAAATTTATAGTTCAAACAATACTGAACGGAATTTTGTTACAGTTTACAAATTTCAAAATTATAAGGATTTTTGATATAAATGAAAATATACATTATTTATTTTATCTTAAAACATAGTGTGGAAAAAGTGAAGCACACATGCAAAGAGTATGTAACCATAAGTGTAACATACATACATATAACAAATGTGTTAGATATAAATAGATATTATTTAAGTGAAACCTCTTTATCAACGTAGTGAAGAAATTTAGTACGGTATTACAAAACAAAAACTTCACGTTTTCTTGTAAGGTTACAACGCCGGTGTTATTTAACATACTTATGTAACATTTATACTAATATATATCACATTTAAGTGTCTGTTTATAATGTCAAAAAAGCTTTTTACTAAATTCATATGAAAGGTACATACAACCAAATTTTTGTCCGTCGATCTGTCTGTTTGTTCCCGCTAATCTCCGAAACGGCTGGACAAATTTTGACGGAAATTTCACTGGCAGATAGTCAATGTTATAAGGAGTAGCTTAAATTACTTTTATTAAAAAAAAAAATTAGGTTTACGCGCAAAAAATTAAAACTCATAAAATCCAATCTTAATAAATTCCATACAAGCAATGTCTCGTATAAAATAAAAGAAGAATGATATAATGTCGTAAAGAAATTTCACTTAATACGTGTGTACATATTTTTTTATGACGTGTTTTGTCGTCAGAACTACCTCAAGTACAATGGGTACAGATTGGAATTGGTGAGTTTATGATCTATAGACAACGTATTGAGGAAACGTGATTTTAAATTAAAAGAAAAACGGTGGCAGTAATAAGGACTGCCGACAGAATTAAAAAAAAACTAAATGTTATATATGTATATTGGCGCAAACCAGAACAACGACGCGGTTACTCACATAAGTAACCGGCTAGTACTCACGTAAGATGTACAAACGCCATTTTATGAAATTGATTTTGTTGTAATTTGGCCAGGAGTTTTTTGATTATTTACTATAAAATCAAACCGTGAGTAGTGATGAAGATTATTTAGAGCAGAATGTGGTAGAGATGCGGTGATTGTGGGTAAGAAAACAAGGTTCACGTGTTTTAATGTGCGTCCGAAAATTGTCATTGATAACAGATAGCAAAAGATGTCAAAACAAAACACAGACATACGCAAATACTTTCCTACACTTGTTTATTTGTAAGTGCAACATGAGTCCGGCTTTATGATAATAGCATATTGGTTCTCTTATTAAAATTGTGGCTGTTCTCAAGTAGCTAATGGAAGTTGCAAGGTACAAAAGAGTTGCTGTAAGAAAAACAAAAATCTTGACACTGCTATTTAATTATGCGTTACTGGCAAATAAAAGTACAAACACATAAAAACGATATTGATGATTTTATAATAGTAGTTGTTTCAAAAAAGGAACAGAAAAGTTCTAAATGTAAAAAATACTATAAAGAAATTTAAAGTTAATTCTTTGTGACAGAATATTCATATCTCACGATTAAATGTAGTATTTTTAAAAAGTTACATACTTAACATGTTTTTATTTCTAATATAAGCATAGATCTAATACATTTTTGTATTCGTTATAATAAATTTAGTGTGTAACAAGTCCATGTAAATGCATAACTCTTACATCGCATAAAATTAATAATATTTTAAATGCTTTGGGATAATGTTTTTAAAATTACTTTAGTAAATATATACACTGTAACTTTTTTCTAACAATTGACAACAAATTAACTAGTATCGTGTTTACTTACAGTTGCTTTTTTTTGTATTATAGAGGTTTAGTAGAAAATTGGTTAAGCGATTGACTTCTAAACAGATAAAGATTTAATATTTCCATTCTATGAATGGAATTTATATATGTTTATCAGATTTTATGTACAGTTCTTTATAAGCGATTTATATTGCTCTTTATAACGTGTTTTTTATAATTTTAGTATATGCGATATAATTACGACTATTTTACATTTAATGCCCTATCTTTTGACTACCTTTGCCTCTTGCTTGTTGAAGCATAATTTAAGAGGAATGATGGCCATTAATTTATTTTTTCTAAATTGTCGTTATCCAAACGCCATCTCGTGCCAGTTTCTCTACATTATTTATCATCTATAAATACAACAGTGTTAACTAAATATTTGTGCATTTTTAAAGATTTTACATTATATGATAAGCGTAGCATACGGTGCGTCGTATAATTGATTATAAATGCTATATTTTTATTAAATATATTTTACAAAACAATTTACTAAATAACTGTATTCACTAACAATTTAATTAAACCGTGGACCAAATTTCGCAATAATTTACATTCTTCAAATCTGGAACATTTTGCCTCTTTTAACCCGGCGTCATTGGGGTCGGGACAAAATAACGCGACGTGTTTTATTTTCTTATATTTTTGAGACTATACTCGATATGATGCCATTCTTTGCAGTAGGCGGAGTTCATTTATTGCTCTAAGCGTCGTTAACAAGGAATTATTTAGACGGCGACCGCGCTCTAGGCTGTCTGCCATGTTAAAAAAGATTAATATGACCCATCCCCGAATTCAATGTAACAATTTCGCGCCTTTTTTACCCATATAGGTTTAATGTTTTTTCATTGCATTTAGTGTAATTTTGGTATGTTATATGACGCTTTTTTGTAATTTCATTAACCATTTAGTTGCCAGATGGCAAAATGGGGATTTACAGGAAAGATATCGCCAGCGTATATTACTAATTTTTGAAGAAACTTGTACTGATATTACACCCACCGTTTAGAAGTCAGCTGAGGAATAGGACTGTGTCAATGAACATGTACATCGACACAGAGTAAGTAATAGGGCTCAGATAGCGATGCCGATATAACCCCATGTGAACATTGTGTACATTAATCGGAACCAGAAAGTTATTTAAGTCGTGTGTTATGAGTTTCACATTACTTTGGTTAAGATGGCAAAGTTTGAAATAAGACTCCTCTTTGGAAGAATGCTCACAAGACATTACTTTTGTATAACATGATTTCTTTTATTTCCTAAACCATTACAAGTTTTTAGCAAGCAATTACAAGAAAGCTACATCTCAAAAAAAAAATGCTTATTTACTTTAAACACATTGAAGCACCTTATGGTCAAAAAGTCCGGTCATAATGGCCGATGCTCCAAATCTGTGTAGTAATTTACAACTCCCATGACGCCGGGTTAAAATTATTGTATTATATTAAAATCACTATACAATGTAATATATTATATTGTATAGTGATTTTAAAATAGCTAAACCTTTGTTCACAATTTAAACACATATAATTTGTTTTCATATTCGCACACACGCGTGTATGTATACGCCTGCTATATATATTACAGCTCTAAAAAAATTAATTAATACAAAATTGATTACATTTCATTTTGAACATAGACATTTTTCACTATGAAATAACAACCTGTCATTTTTTGTTGTTATTTGGTTCCACTGCATGTCCTTTTAATTTAATAATATAATATTTGATATATTTCACAAAATCAGGCGCATCTACCCACGTTAATAATTTAAATATCATGTTTCATAATTTTACCAAGCGCAACAATTTTAATCCAATATTTTTCTATTTGTTATACCTTTAACAATTCCATAAAGTTCATTATTCATTGAAAATACATTTTAACTATGTTGTACATTTAAGTTCATTTTAACATCACTATAGCGTCAGATAAAATTCACGAGAATTCACGTTCGGACCACAAACGGCAGGATCACTGGATCAATTCACCGTATTAGTTTTGGCACTACGAAATTCATTGTTTCAAACACAACTCCTAATATATCTTCTTACTGGACTCATAATTCAAATTAAGCACGTTTAGTATAGTTCTTGACGTCATTTGGAAGTTGGTTTACATTATATCCTCGTGCGATTCTTTAACTTATCTGTTTCCATAAAAAATGTTATTTAGTCGTAATTTTTTTTAAACAACACAGTTTAATCTGCCCGTGTTGTGCACCTGTTGATGCTACAGCAAATTTGTAGATAAATAATGATTTAGTTGTCACAAGTCTTGCAGCACTGTTCTTTGTACCGCCTCAGAGCGCACATGTTCATAGCTCTAACATTTTCGCAAAATCTGGACGTATCTCTGCAGACACCATCTGCAAAAGAAAACCTTTTAATATTTGCTGTGTGCTGACGGAACAAGAGAGTTTATGCGTATCTCGTTGCGAGGGGGAAAGAGCTGACTTTGGCCAACATCACATCGATATCTCTTTTATGACAGACGTAGGTGTAAAATACCCATATCGTGAAAGTCAAACAGCGTTATTGATATCAGATGTCTTACCAGATCCTTGCGCAGTACAGTATTTTTTTTAAACGTTCGCCCACACTAGTATAACTGTATCGTGGAGGCAGTTTACAAACATAAATTGCACGAGGACAAACATCCAGACTCGGAAGAATTATTTGTAGGCCATACAAATACTTGTTCCGTGTGGGATTCGAACCCGCAGCACCCAGCGCAACAACTCATTGCTAGACCACTGCGCCACGGAGCCATCACATCGTGCCGAGCCACAGTGCGGTGTTTAAACACTTTCAAATAAATATATTCAAATCTTTAAATTTTCAAATATTTCAATGTTATATAAATTTATTAAATCCAGTGATTAAAATAATTTGATTCTTATGTTCATAGAAATAAATAAAATAATAGTTTGGAATTTATAGGCATTTATTTTTATTTCTGCTGTCTATCAAAGTATTTTTATTTAATAAAACACTGTTGAAAATTGCTTTTATTAATCTGATTCTATATTGAAATGTTTGAGTTGTAGAAATGGAGAAATTTAAATTATATTATAAGAGAAAACAGATAAAGTAAATAACAATATTTTAATAAAATTTCTGGTCGAAATATTAGTCGTAGGTACTGTATAAGCAGATAATTATAACTATTAACAAAAAGTAAAAACCGACCTCAAATTGCAAAAAAAGAAGTTATTTATTTGCTATCATTAGGGGCGGAAAAAATCCGTTCAAGTATAACCTATTTGATAAAAAAAAGTATCATCAAAATTGGTTTACAATCTGCGAATATATCATGGATCATACATACAAAAAACAACATACACTCGAATTGAGAACCTCCTCCTTTTTGCAGTCGGTTAAAATAAGTATAATCCGACGGTACCTTCTAACCCACAATTCATCATTGATAATAAATAGTACGACCACATAGCATGACATTAATGATAATAGTACGACCACAAAAAATACCGACGTCGTCATCATCGGACTTGTAGCGATTGTGTAATTCTGGTGGAAAATATTCATTTTCATTATATGTTAAAAAGTTTATTTTTTTTACCCTTTGCAGTCACCTATCCTACATTCAAATATGTATTATGTAATAATATATATTGAATAAAAAATATTCTATTCTAATCTATTCTATTATATTCAATCGGCTGAAACATGTAATATGCAACCATGCAAAAAACACAGATTAGCTAATCTTATGCATATTGTATTACATAAGTATAGATAAAAATGTACAGTCGAAATTATGATTTATTTTTAAGGCGAGTATTTCCTACGTTAAAAGACTTTTGGGGCTCTCTTTTCCACTGCATGCATATACGAATATTCGTATTTGTCCAGTGCGAGGTAAGTGTGTGACATTTGGTGGTCACAAAGTTACTTTATTCAAAAAAATTTTGCTCATTATCATGAAATAAATAACCTTTATAAAAATGTAGCTGATTAAGAATCTAATTCAATAACATGCCATTCATATTATCGAAAAATATTGCATGTTTATCGCTTCAATATACGAGAACACGAATGTCAAGTTATTTCACAGCGCTTTAATTATATATTTTTTATCTCAATGAATGTAAAGTATTTTAATAATCCATTCCATTAAAAATTTAATTGAATTGAGAGAGAGAATTGTGCGCATATTTTTTTCAGAGCATACGTTAGTTTAAGAAATATTAATGCTCACAAGTTATTTTATAGATAAGGTTGACAAATAAGCACACAATCCACCTGATGGTAAGCGGTTGCTGTGGCATATAGACATCTACATCTATCCTCGATTATGAATCAAAATACAGATGCGTTGTCACCCGTGAGGACTAAGATGGAACGCCTCGTTTCCACTAAAAAGAGTCTCTACACTCATCATACGAAACACAGCAGCGATTAGCTGCTATTTTAGTGTATTCTGTGAGAGCGTGGTCCTTCCGCGGTCGAGCCGATCCATTTGTGCTACAAATATACCACTAATATAGCTGCAGGATGGCTCTAACACGTGTTAAAATCGTTACTATTTCAAGAAGTATCAATAAACGAGCATCAAAATTATATCTAAAATACGATATTTTCTTTAACCTGGTCTTAAACCTTTACCTATGGCACAAGCAGATACTTCACAAGCCCTGGCAACATTGGGGCGGTGCATGCCTTCACAAGCGGCACCGGCGCTCCGTTCGCGCCTCCGCCTCACCTTCTCAGTACGTGGGCCGCCCACGCGCCACACGCAACGGAGCACCCTGTGCTGACGACCGGAACTCCCACACGTGCCTATACACTGGAGTAAATAAGTTTGTTTAGACTGGAATTGCAAGCTACTTGTCGTTAGTTTTTCCTTAATTTTCAGGAGTGGCGAAGGTTTTAAAAAAATACCCTTTATAACAACAGTTTTCATTTTTAACTATAACCCAAGTTACAGTAGCTTTGGCTTTGGATCTTTTATGACATATTTAGGAATGCTATTAATGTCTAAGTAGAGAATTACACAATTTATCTACCACTAGTTGAATATGATTAGGATTTCAAGTTTGTTTGAATTAAAATGTGGTTCAATACAAATGAATTAATGCCTTGTAAAAGAAAACTAATTTATGTGTAGGTTTGAAATTGTATGCAAGAGTATTGAGTGAAAAGGAATGTATGAACTGAAACAGATAATGGAAGATGAATGATGTTTGCGTGATGAAGGGAGATATAAACGTATATTATTGTATTAGAGTACGTGAGGGTAATATGGTCATCCGGTTAATATTGTCACTTTCTTATAACTCAAAAACTACAGCCTTGTTTGTATGAATGGCTCTGTGATACGATAGCTCTTCATCAGTCATTCAAATAATAAAGGGTCAAAAGGCCGCCGTTTTATCGACGCCATTTTGATAGTTGATATTATAGTAAGTACGTGAGGGTAATGTGGTTACCTTAAGCTTTATCGCCCTATAAAGCAAAATTGGGAGAAGAACAGTGACAAAAACACAAAGTCGTATACTATAACTAATATATTAAGAAAAAAAAACCAAACAAGCTTTGGAAATAATTAGGAACACTTCGAAAAATCTACTTAAAAAAACTAACTACACTACACAATACAAAAATCGACAAAAATATTTACAATAATATCAACTGTCAAAATGGCGTCGATAAAGCAGCGTCTTTTTGACCCTTTATTATTTGATAGACTGATCAAGAGCTATCGTATCACAGAGCGTTCTATGCAAATGACGCTGTAGTTTTTGAGTTATAAGAAAGTGACCATATTTACCGGGTGACCATAATATTACCCTCACGTACTATAGTTAGTTATTTTAAGTTGATTTTTCGAAGTGTTGCTAATTATTGCCAAGGCTTGTTTGTTATTTTTTTCCATATTAGTTATAGTATACGACATTATGTATTTGTCTCTGTCCTCTTCCTAGTTTTGGTTTTATAGGGCGGCAAAGTTTAAGGTGACCATGTTACCCTTACGTAACTTATTTATTTGTTTCGATCCCTTTTAAAAAGTAAAAGAAATTTTTCTTTATTTTGAATAGGGATCGAAAACCTTTTCAATTCTCTACATTTATACACAGAAATATAGTTGTCGAAATATATCATACTTATATTCATTTTCGAAATAAAGCTTTAGTGTACCTTCTTAAATAACACAAAATTCTGGTACGATTTGTAAAGAAAAATTTATAAATACGGAAAAAGAAAACTTTCTTTTTCTTTAATATTCCTTCCATCTCCTATCTAACGAACAACATTTTCAAGCAGGCGAAACAAAGAAAAGCTTTTTGTTTTAAGCAAATATTCTCTTGCCATGACTTGTCATTGACAAAACACAATAGAGGCCTATGAATAAAGTTTTCATTATATACAATTTTTGTATACGTAAGAATGCCTTTTAGTTTTTAGCATATAGTTCGTTTGAGATATTTTTGTAGGTGCACTATTAAGGGATTTATTTAAAAGAAGAGAAGTATTGTATAAACATAAAGTTTATTTTTTAAATTTATCTCAACATCATCAACATGACTGTTCACTAAAAGTCCACTGTTCAACGTAGACCTCTTCACAGATGGTTACCAAGAGATAATATTTGCTATAGTTACCACGCTTGGCAAATGAATTGATCTCCACAACTTTTTAACCGACTTCAGAAGGGAGGAGAATCAATTCGACTGTATTTTTTTTTAATATGTGTTGCCTCATAACTTTTTTCTAGGTGAACCGATTTTGATGGTAATTATTTATTATTTATTTTTATTTAAAAGCTGGTGCTTCTCATGTGGTCCTATACAAATTTGTACAAAGTCTGACCAGTTGTTTTTGAGTTATCCTTAATATCTCATAATGAAGTCGGTTGTAAAAAAAATTACCACTTATAATTATATTGAATTGTTATAAGAATGCGCTCCTGTCCATCTCCGGTTCTGTTTTCTTCTGTTTTACAACACTCACGGGATTATATAGGGTAGTGGACATCCACTTCACAAGACACGAGTTCCACAAGGCAGCGTATTGGGTCCAACTCTCTTTCTCGTTTACGTGAATAGTTTATGCAAAATTACGCTGCCAACTGCAAAATCATTTTGTGTGCCCACGAAACAGCTTTAATTGTACACGGTAAGGATTGGAAAGACGCCCAATATTATACAGAGGAGTTTGCGCTTGGTAAGGTCATGCGGTGGCTTAGTAGTAACCGACTGACAATTAAGTACGTACTTACACTACTTACACATGGTTGTTTTAATTTATTAAACTAACTAGTTGTGTAGTGCATCAACACTTATCACTTATAACAATTACAACTATCTTTACATGTTATCCTAATACGATAGTGTAACTATTCTCAAAGCTATATTATACGTAATGATTTTTTATATTTACGCAAAGACTACACATTCAATGAACATTTACATAATATTATTACATAATATTCAAAATATGAAGGTAGCCGGGCTAACTATGACATCGGGACGTCAAACACCTCTGTTCCCCCCGTGACCATGGATGCTGGAAAGCACCCGAAACGTCGGTAATTAAAAAATTAAATTAAACGCGATTAAATCCGTAAAAATTAGTTACATTTAATCTATATTATACGCAATTATCTTTTTAAATTAGGTACATAACAAGTTACGTATGTATAATGCTAGCTTTGTAAACTTACTCGGGGGACAAAAAAACAAGTCTATTTTTCTGGTTATCAAATTAGGAGTGCGAGTAGTGAGAGTAAGTCTCAGGTGGTCCTGACGCATTAAATTTGTCCTTCCGTTCGGCACGGCCAGCAGATGAGGATGTAGCTACCTTGGTAGGTGTCCGTCCGCGACATTCATGTTTATTAATGTTGCGGCAGAGCAAGATAATCCATTGCCCAATAGGCTACAAGAGGCAACAGAGGTAAACTGGAACAGAAGATAGGCAACAGCATTTTCCTGATAACAGTTCAAAATAATTAAAAACTGCGATTGCAAACCCACCTACATAGCGTAGCAACTGTGATTAATATACCCTCTACGAGGCAATCAATCAAGGATGCCAATAACGACATTTGTACTTGAAAATAATTTATTATTTGATAAATAGATAAAAAAAGATGTATAACGACGTAAGTTTTTAAATTGAGCTGACGCGTACTACCCCATTGAATTTCAATTCTTTACACCCGGGGCCGTGTCCCCGTGCGCTTGTGGTCAGCACCTCTCCTCACCCGCATACAGTGCAAGGAATTGGCGCAAACATTCCCCAAGCTCTGATTACCCGATGGTACCTCTCTGGTGGACCCTAGATAGGATGTAATGTGTGAATTTATGAAGACGTTATGATCCTTACCTTACTCCAAGCGCCTACAGCCCATGCTGGTTTGCAGGGATGAGGCTCTCGCTTGATTTTCTCTGGCTGCATGCTATAGGAGCAGGAGGAGTCTGGTAGAGTGGTGCCGTTTTTGCTTACGCATTCTACACGCCGACGGAGTACCGCTGTGTGATGATTAAACAAAATAAACATATGAATACCAAATGTAATTTTAAATGGGGAGGAGTAGAACCTCGTGATTAAACTGTTTTTGTTGGTATTACTTAGTAAACAAAGCATCAGTGGGTGAATCTTTGGTCTCCGTATATAGCACTAGTGACAAAGATTCTTTTTAAAATTGAAATCACAAAAAGAAGGCTCCAGATAGATTTTTGAAGTTATACTTCTCCTGGGCCGTTTGGGAAAATGATGAGAGTGATTTTTTTACGATGCGCGCTCACATCGACAACTAAAAACGACACCATGAAGTTATTACGATGCGCATGCACACTGATACCTCAAAGCGACAAATTCATTGGGTCTGTCTGTCTCTCAAGTCTCTCAAGTTTTCGTGGGAACTGATAACTATATTTAAGGTTGATATTTTAGTTATTTTTGTTTTGTTACGCTAAAGAAGTATAACTTCCTGCGTGCGTACATAAGTACACACACACGTTTTTTAAGTTAATAAAAATTATTTTATTACTTAGGAAATTCTTTTCTTAAAATCATATTATCTTCAGCCCTACAACAGTCATTAAGGACATTGAGAATGGATACGATATATGATAAAAGGAATATCTTACCAGCTCCACTCGCTAGACATCGAGGTGCGGACCAAGATGTCGTTCGCCAGGTGGCGCAGTTAACGCCTGAACATTCGCGTAGCACATTTGGTGGAGTTGCTCCTCTGCTTAAGCATTCTTCAGCCTCCACAGTCGTTGTGTTATTGCTTTTCTTATGCTAAAAAGAAAGTATATTGTAGCGGTGGGGTAAGAATATTGAATACGACATATCGTATCGGGGGTATCGTAAGAGGTGATACAGGAAAACGAACAGGTCAGATTTACCGAAGATCATGCGCTCAAAAACTAAAAATATAAAGCTGAAGTCATATAATGTTTCAGAGTTTAATATTGTGAGTGTAGAGAATTGAAGATGCCTTTTACAGGTAACACGGGATTTAATTTTATTTGTCAGAAGCATATACATTATGATTTTAATCGAGTAAATGTGCAGATGTCTTTCGACTATACAATACAGTAATATTATACCATCAGATGGACGGTGGGCTTGTTTCTCACCCTTACTGGTATAAAATAATTAGATTACAGAGGCTGCCCTTAACATGTTAATAATGTTAAATAAATTTAAAATAAATGAACATAGCTATTTTAGGGTAAATAATAAACAATTGATTTTTTTTCAAATTAATAGATTGAAAATATTAGAATTCTTAGGCATTACTACATACATAAGTATCTATTCTTTCACCGAGTAGTGGCGATGTAAGAATATCGACTACTCCATCGTACCGTCGTTGTTGTGAGAGGCGAACAAAAGGCGGGAAACAAAACAGGAGATACACAGCAGCGTCTTTCTAATAACATCGAGAAAATAAGAAGCTGCGGTTGCCAACCAGTCTGCCAAGGCTGCCAACTATAGGTTTTTGATAGGCTGTAATAAAAATTATGAAATTAATTGTATTCTTTTCTAAATGCTGTGACAATTACCTGACAAACTGCTCCTCTAACTTGATGGCCTTTTTGGCCACATGGGGCACTGCATATAGACCAGTCTGTTGTCATCCATGTGTATTCTTTGGCATCGATTGGAACTTTTGTTCTACAAAATGTGAATGTTTATATAAGTACGACTTTGGATAAGGCTAAGCTAAATAAAAAAAAAGTGTAAAACAATTGTCTTAATAAAAGACGATTTCTAGTAAGGCAAAACCACTGTGATCTACTCGATGAGAACAGGTATGTGGCAACGCTGTCGTCGCACCACAAACTAAATACACATCGAAGCCTAAATCACGACTAACTAATCACGACGGGAGATCTCCCCTTTTCCTTCCACCAACCACACTGGTGACCCCGACGTGATATGAACACGCAACCAACAACCTTCGGAAACTACAACTTCAAAACCTCCGTCATCGTTCTCAAGTACCCCATTCATTCGCTCCCGAGCAGATATTGTCTGCATTTTTCACATTCTGCAAGCCATCTAGCTTTACAAAGGTTCATCGCAGCACTGGAATAATAATGCTTCCTGTTTCTTCAAGCTACTCTCTGCGGTGATTATACTACGTATTTTTAACCGTTAAAGTAACCGTGTAGTGGCGATGTAAACATACCACTACGCCATATTGACCTGAGGGTTTAGTAACAGGCGACAGAGAGAAAATGAAACAGGAGATGGGTAGCAGCATATTCCTGATAACAAACTTAACAATGGCAAAATCACCCTAAGAGGCAATCTATGAGAGACTTATATGTTCAGCAGTAGAATTTTAGATATAGCTTGTAATAGATGGATGGATAGAGAGTAGGATTGATAATATAAAAGGGGAAGAATTATATCTTACGTGATTTCGGTATATGACGCAGTCGTGTCAACCAAGTGATATACATCTTCTTTTAAGCTTTCTACTTTTTCTTCTGCGATAGTATTCCTGTTGTAATCTTCGTTGACAATTATTATATCAGAATCATCGTCTTCCGGGAAAACGATTTGCTTATCACGTAGATTCACAACGCGAGTTTTAGTTGGTGATACGTGGTTCTGATACATTACCACTGGATCCACCATTCTCTGACCTCGAGAATTGCCGAGTGTCTGGAAATTCCAAAACATCTGCACATATCAATTATAATGAATCTAGGTTTTTCACCAAAATTCATAAGATTATTATGATTTCTTACATTTATTATTTAATAATTTTACGGATTTTATCGCATTTCATTTTAATTAATTTTTAATTCCCAATGTTGTTTTGCACTTTGCAGTACACAGTTCTATAAGGAGACCTTCAGCTTTTAATTATTGTGTTCAACAGCACCTGAAGGTGGTTCTGCTAACACATTTGGACAAACGTTTAAATCATTTATGTTTCGTATATATTTCGTATACTCGTAGACAACGCTCAATATGTTAGCAGACTGCAGACGTCATTTATAAATTCTGTTACGTGGTTTTAAAGCGATCTTTTCATTTGTCGTAGGTAAAAGAGAGTTCGCTTGTTCTTCGTCTTGTAGGGGGGTATGATACTTGACGGATGGTTAAAAACTGACTAACCTTGTATGGTGGCTTGAAAATATCATTAGTTAAACGCGATAAAATCCGTACAATTAGTTTTACTCAATATACATGGTAATTTTACGAATGTCCAGTCAGTGCTTGATTTTTTAAAGTTATTAGTATTTGAAATTTGTACAAACGGAATTAATAAAAAACACTAAAATCTAACAACATTCCCCTGTTAGATACCTTAATAACTTACACATGAATACAGTTTAGTAAATACCTAAATCAATTTTCATTATTCACAGCTAAATTTATAGCTGACCACCATCTGATTAAAAAAATGTTTAATGCCATTTATATAAGGGAATGTGAAGCTTAATGAAATATGTTGAGATCTATCAAAAGTACACCACCAGAGGGAGAACATGCCGTAAATAAAAAAAATACCATTCAATGTTAAAAATATGGCATCAGATCCCCGAACACGGAGTTGGCATGCTCTATTCTAGAAACTTCTCACCTGAATTTGCATTATTATGTAATGTAGGCACGGTAACAATCTGGAGGCACTGCTTGGTTTTGGTGGAAGCATCCGAGAAGAGACTGCACTCTCCTTGGTTGAAAAATTCCCAAGCGGCGTGCGCATAATTAAACTTTCAGTTACATAATCACATAGATTAAAAAGCGTGTGTTAATTGCCTTATTTTACCAATAATTAGACACTAAAGCCGTATACGTAACTTATATATTTATTTAATTAACATGTAACAATTAATATATTAGGGTTTACATTAATAAAGGTCGGGGAAAAAATTTTTTCGTATTTTATATACAAATTCAAGACATTTTTTTTCAAAAATGCCGTTTTGTTCAATAACTTGTTGCCATCTTGTATGCTTGCTACGATGCTGTAGATATTTTGGGATTTTTGATAAAAAAACCGGCCAAGTGCGAGTCGGACTCGCGCACCGAGGGTTTCGAACAAATCCGTAGATAATATATAAGATTAAAATTATTAAAAATATTTTTATTATATGACGTAACTAAAAATTTTTGCTTTTCGCAATTTTCCCTTTATCTGTACTATAAAACGTTGCTTCGTACCAAATTTTAACATTCTGAGTTCACGAGAAGTACCCTGTAGGTTTTGATTCCCTTGCGAATGTCGAAAATATGCGGCATAAACGGCTGTATCTTTTGATTGAATTGGCTTAGAAGTTTGATTTTTTCAGCTTGATACCTCCACGCGTTACTGAGAAAAAGGGTCTTGACAGACTACATAGACAGACAGACGGACAACAAAGTGATCCTATAAGGGTTCCGTTTTTTCCTTTTGAGGTACGGAACCCTAAAAATGCGACAAGTAATTTTGACAGTCCTCTCTTGATGTTAACCTAACAGTATCCAAAGAATTCTGAAAACACCGCAACAGGTAAAAAAATCTAAGGAGGCAAGGTCAGGACTGCATTAAAGCTTTCCAACCAAGCTCTCTCAATTTTTGCTGATTGGCCAAAGATGTGTGTGGCCTGGCGTTATCACGATGAAAGACCACTCCTATTCTGTTGATCAATGCCGGCCATTTTTTTCTTAATTTCTTGCTTGAGTCTCATTAGTTGTTGGTAGTAGAGATTCGAAACGATGGTTTTGCCCAGCGGTAAAAGCTCATAATAAACGATGCCTTTCCAATCCCACCATACACACAGTATCACCATATTACGTGTGAATCCTGGTTTCGCTAGTCTGTGGAGCTTGACAACCCTTTGACCATTATATTTTTCACACAATCTTGTCGTAGGTGAACATTTTTCATCACCAGTAATCAATTCTTTCAAATATGGTTCGGTTTCATTACGTTTCAATAGAGCTCCACTTTTTCGAAAATAGCATAACTTTATCCGTATGAGGATGACCGGAGTGAACTGCATCTTTGACATGAAAGTTCCTGGACTGAAAACGCTTGAACCAACTTTGTGCTACTCTTACTGACACTGCATTAGGTTAATAAACTTGACTTAGTAAACTTCATTTATCGAATTTCTTCGTTAGATTCACTCATTTTGGCGGACAGAAAAACAATTGAAAAATAGCGGGAAAGCGTTTTTTACTTTTTATTTTCCTTTTTCTTAATGTCCTATATGTATTGATATTAAAACAAGCCAGATATAAACAGAGAGATTTTTCTTCAATTTTGTACAAACAAAATACGAAGAAACTTTTTCCCCGACCTATTATTTAATCTATAAGTAACTAAAAAATAGTTTCTTCTGGTAATTCATTTTTACTTGTCGATCGTGAATGAATAAAAAAATAATATTTATAACAAATCGTAAGTAATGAAAGCCACTATGGATCAAAGGGACGGGGACAGTGGTAGTGTTATGCTGCAACTATATTATAGTTGTAACACTAATGGATCGGCTCAAACGCTCTCACAGAATACCAGCGTAAAATAGCAGCTTAATGTAGCCGTGTTTCGTATGGTGAGTGTAGAGAACCGGGGACCACTTTTGTTGGAAATGAAACATTCCATCTTAATCCTCAGGGGTGACAACAACATGTACATCCACTCACCAAGAAGTGGACTATGTGCTCGTTTGTCAACATTATAATATAAAAAAAAACATGTGTTCAGTTCACATGCGGTAGAAGCGAAACAATCAAATGAAATTAAATATAAAATAAAATATTGCACGGCAAAGGATTTATTTAATATGATCATTTTCAAGCACAAGTGCCGCATAAAATATAAGATAAAAGTTTAATTTTATAGCAAATAAATGTTTTATTCCTTGTTTTTAGACTTAATTTTAGTGTAATAAAACAAAATAATATTTTTTTCGAGTAAAATTGCTTTGTAATAGCGCCATCTACTTCATACTTTAGGTAAAGTCATTTTTTTAACCGACTTCAAAAAGGACTGTTGTGACAAAAGACAGGAAGGAAAGGACTTCAAGATGACGTTGTGACAAGGATTAAGAAAGGAATGCTTCGGTGGTTTGGTCATGATGTAGAAAGAATGAACGAGGAAAGAGTGACAAAGCAAATTTATGTTGCGGAAGTGAACGGCAGGGTCGGGAAGGGACGCCCTAGACGAAGGTTTATCGACCAAATCGGCGATACATTAAAATGGGCCAGATTAGGAGTACCCTTAACCGACGAGCGTGTATGCGTAGATATATGGATGTAAAAGAGGCGAGAGAGGTGTGTCAGGATCGCGCCAAATGGAAGTCTGTAGTCTCTGCCTACCCCTCTGGGTGACAGGCGTGAGTGTTTATGTATGTATGTATTATGTATATATATGTTCAAAAAGGAGGACGTACTCAATTACGCTGCATTATTTTATTTTTTATTTTTATGTGTGTTACCTCATAACTTCTTTCTAGTTGAACTGATTTTGATGATCCTTTTTTTTATTTGAAAGTTGATGCTTCTCATGTGGTCCCATATAAATTTTAAGTTATCCTTAATAATATATATATTGAAGTTAGTTGTACAATTTAATTGAATATTGAATTGTACATTAAGATAATTTTATTCATTATGGTTAATTTTATTAATTTAATAAATTTTTTAAGTATTTTAACTGTTTATTTTAACAGTTAAATGTATGCCATCAAAAACATAACTTGTAAAAAAAGCCAAGTCTCGCAAATCAGTTCTTCTACCGTAAAAAGTTGTGAGATTCATGTAATACCAATTCGGTTAATTTATTCAGTCCCTACTTAAGAGTCCTTTTGTCTTAAGTTATTACGTAATTAGCTAACCTAACAACATCTTATAGTGACCACATCAATACTAAAAATCTTGAAATGAAACACAATGTATCTCTCAAGTAATACATATTATATTAAATTAGATCGTTTCGTGCGATTGCCAAGTCAATTTATTTATTTAAAACATAAATGATTTTTGATATTGATATGATCGCTATAAGATATTGTTAGATTAGCTAATTACGTAATAATTTAAGACAGAAGGACCCTTAAGTAGGGACTGAATAAATTAACCGACTTGGTATTACATACATGGATCTCACAACTTTTTACGGTAGATGAACTGATTTGCGAGACTTGGCTTTTAAAACAAGTTATGTTTTTGATGGCATCTCATTTCTTTTTGTAGATAGTTATATCTAGGTACATATCTACACCTATTATTCCATTATATTATACATATATAGGTACACTGATTCACTCACTGCAAATGTAACTTTGTAATCCTATATATTTATGTGGGATTACAAAGTTATTTATGCAGTTGGTGTATCTCGTAAATTGGACAGAAATTGCAAAATATTTTAATTTTTCCTCGATTAATATATTAAAAAAAATTGTATTCCAAATTTGAAGCTTCTATGTCTTCTAGAAATGCCTTAGAGTTTTGATGATCGGTCAGTCAGTGAGTGACAAAATTAACAAACTTTGACTAGTTATAATTCTTAAACGACTAGTTCAAATTTAATGAAATTTGAAATATATCGAGTTCATACAATGTCTACTTGGTTAATGAAAATTCAGACTTCTAGTTTTATCCACAACGAAGTTATAGGGATTCGAAAATGGCCTGAACTGCTTCGAGAAAAGGATAGTACAGCCGTGCCGCTTTCTTGCTCGACTTGGCAGTGGCACTGCCGTGCCCCCAGATGTGGTGGGTGGAAGAAAAAGGGGAGATCTCCCGCCGGGCAAGGTGTTCTGCCCGGGGAGCGGCCAACGCTCCCATTGGTAGTTCGGAGCTATTTTATATATGCTGCTTTAACTTCGGAACTTTGTAAGCATGATTTAGGCTTCGATGTGTTTCGCTTGTGGCGTGACGACAGCGCCACCACATCACCCCCCTGCTCAGACCGGAGGTCGATAGTGCAGTCTAGATGTCGACGAATTTGCAAGTGCCGAGGAATTGCCTTGTAAGTCTGTGGTGAGTAGAGAGGAAGGTAAGTAATCTGCGAGAGTGCCGTGAAGCAGAGGCGAGCAGTGAGGTTCAGAGCCGTGCCGAACACTGTAGCGCAGAGAGTATTGCTTGAAGGAACAGGAAGCATTATTATTCCAGTGCTGCGATGAACCTTTATAAAGCTAGATGGCTTGCAGAAGGTGAAGACTGCAGACAATATATCTGCTCGGGAGCGAATGAATGGGGTACTTGAGGAAGATGACGAAGGTTTTGAAGTTGTAGTTTCCGAAGGTAGTTGGTTGCGTGTTCATATCACGTCGGGGTCACCACTGTGGCGGGTGGAAGGAAAAGGGGAGATCTCCCGCCGGGCAAGGTGTTCTGCCCGGGGAGCGGCCAACGCTCCGATTGGTAGTTCGGAGCTATTCTATATATACTGCTTTAACTTTGGAACTTTGTAAGCGTGATTTAGGCTTCGATGTGTTTAGCTTGTGGCGCGACGACAGCGCCGCCACATGTATATTAACCATATTTAAAACACTGCACAAAGAGGAGACTGAAATAATAGAAAACAATTTTTTTAAATATACTAGCAATGGTATTAAGATTACTAAAATTCACTTTGACCACCATGGGTAAACTTAAAAATAATCGAATGGCGGTTTCGAACCCACAAGTTTTTGAGTTCGTGGTTCGCTCCCTGCCATTAGGCTACTGTCGCTTACAACACTGTATTCTATCTTATTCTCACGTAGGATAAATGCTACGAGTATAGATGTATACGTTTGTCTCTTTTTGTGTCGCATTTTAGTTTCATCCTGTTTCAAATCAAAACGATGTTAAATAAGTTTTCACTTTAAAAAACCTCAATTCGTCTTATTGCAAAATATAGTGTTGATAATTTCGGGTTTAATAAAGTATGGCTTAAGAACTGTCATTCTTACAAAAGAAGTCCCACAGCCGTGCCACAGTATTCGCGAAATTGGACATTTTCTTCCTAATTCCACACTTTATATTTTAGTCCGCATATTTCCGCGGATTTCTTTCGTGAAATAGATTCTAACTTAAACGAGTGCGAGTGCGCTTGCTACGTAGTTTACATCGGTAGACTAATGTACGATGTAACGGTTCTGACGGACTGTCGGACAGTTCTTCCAGAATTTTTATTGCAGGTGATAAGGCGGTTCAATAGAATAGAATGATTTTTATTCAATATGGATTATTACATAATACTTATTGAAAGTCATTATTTTATTTACCACTGGTTCGGAAAATACCTCTGTCCTGGGAAGAACCAGCAAGAAACCCAGCGGGACTTTTTTTTGAAACATAATTTCACTTAACAATAATTTTGTTTATACAATTTTAAATGAATTTTCGATCACCTTACCAGTGGCGATCACCTTATTCATCAATTTAAACATGACACTAATTCCAAGTATAAAATACTTTTTGTAGTAAGTCGCAACGGAGTTAAGTAATTCAAAATTACTTATCCAAGTTATTGAAATAAAAAAAAAACACTTGTATTGAATTTTAATTTGAAATTTATTTAAATTGAACTTAAAAATGTTTGTCTATCATGAATATACTTTGGAATAGAAGTTGTTTTAAATGCCATAATGATTAGCTATCTGAAACAATTTTGCTAAGTTCTGCAATAAAATGGTCTCAATAAAGTTTATGGCGCGCTTTACTGTCGCAATAAAATATATTTAACGCATATTATCGCTAGACAATCAAAATGAAGTACAGTTTTAACATTATAGAAAATATTTCCTTTTCGAAAGTCCTTTTAATTATTTGTCCCGATTTTAACCGATGGGGAAGATAGTTTCTCGGGTGGCAGCCTCGTACCGGTAGGTGAAGTGTAGGGCCCGTCACTAAATGAAATAACGATCTGGTAGGACGTGCAGGAAATCAACGGATGCAGGTGGCTCAGTACCATATGCTGTGGCGTTCCTTGGGGGAGTCCTTTGTTCAGCAGTGGACTTATAAAGGGCTGTAATGATTGATGATCGATTATGATTGTTCGAGTTAGAGAACAGCGATTTTTCCTGGCAATTTTAGATATGCTACCAAGAAGTGTTGGTAAAATTTACCATCAATGCTTTTAGACAATAATTTAAAATTAAAAATTTTGTACAGCCGACTTCAATATAAGTTAAACTTAAAAACTATTGGTCTGACCTTGATCAAATTCATATGGGACCACACGAGAAGTACCAGCTTTCAAATAAAAAAAGAATCGTCGAAATCGGTTCACCCAGAAAAAAGTTCTGAGGTAACACACATAAAAAAAAACGAAAAAAAAAACATACAGTCGAATTGAGTACCGGCTCCTTTTTGGAAGTCGGCAGAAAAATGAAAGGCGATTTTTAAGGGAAAATTCTTATGTATCCAAAATTCTGAGACTTAAGTCGTCGCATAATGTTACTAACTTAATTAATAAAATGAGAAATTTGAACATTATTATGTTAGTTTCATAAAGATGATCGTGAAAAAATGCAAAAGTATTTTCAATGAACATTGGAATTGTATAAATTCTAAATTCAAGCACTTTATACTGCACACTTCTATTTCTGCATACAATATAGTCCTCCTGAAATCAACACTGTTATGTTGGCACGTGTCAAAAGCTGTTATTTTTTTGGCGCATATTTAGTTTTCTTGGTGCATATTTAGTGTTTTTTGGTGTATCTTTAACTTTTTGGTGCATATATTAGTGTTTTTTGTGTATATTTAGTTTTCTTTGTGCATATTTTGTGTTTTTTGGTGCACATTTAGGTTTTTAGTGCATATTTAGTGTTTTTTGGTTCATATTTAATGTTTTTGGCGTATATTTAGTTTTCTTGGTGCATATTTATTGTTTTTGGCGCATATTTAGTGTTTTTTGTGCATATTTAGTGTTTTTTGGCACATATTTAGTTTTCTTGGTGCATATTTAGTGTTTTTTGGTGTATTTTAGTTTTTTGGTGCTTACTTATCAGTTTTTTTTTGTGTGATAATAATCATAATTTTTGTAGAGAAGTGTAATATAATGCTTGAAATAAGTAAGAATATAATTTCTTACTTATTAACACAAACATCAAATAAAATGATATTCTTTCCTAATTTATTCGAGTAGGGGAAAATTGAGTATTGTGTATTTACAGCGTAAGAAAAGCATTCATCCCATTTCGCACCATGTTTATCGTAAATATAACTATAGAAATTGCCAGAAAAATCTTATAACTTTCGAGAGTGCAGTGGCGGTGTAAGAATTTCCACTGCCCCATATCATCCCGTAGCTGTCGTAAGAGACGACAGAGGGAAACAAGTCAGGAGATGGGCAGCAGCGTCTTCCTAATAACGACTAAAAATAAAAATAAAACAGCGCTGGCCAAGCGTGGCAACTATGGTAAAGGGGGATCCCCTATGAGGAAATTTATGGGGGACGCCTATGTGTCTGTGCCTTTAAGCTAACTGTCTGATAAAGACTGATAAGCTGTTAACGGTTAACGATTACCCTGGTCTGTAAAGCGTCGGGCTTTGAAAATATTTTAATTTTTTTTTGTCGTAGAGCTACAAAAAAAAAAGACAAAATAAAACTTGAAATATTCTTTAGCTTATAACCACCGAGTCCGATAACCGCAAGCCAGTATAGTGTTTTGGATAATCACGAAATTAATACCAAATATCAAGAAACGTGTTACAGAGAACAATGGAGATTGAACTTTCAAGAAGGCACTGTACAATAGTTAGAAAACTTTTAATGAGACTTGGAAAGTCAAACGGTTGAAATATAAACTACAATTGCAGTGCATGCGTAAATGTCTATTTGTAGACTGATTTTTTGTTTGTTTCTTTATTAATATGTGTTAATAACAACGAGATTTTAAGTATATTACTTTCTTTTATAGTTTCTTTTATTTACTTTTTCTTAAACATAATATGTATCTAGTATAATAGGTCAACTAGCGGCTCACAGCTTCATTCAGTCTGATTCATATACCAAATGAATACAATGTAGTTTTTATGAGCCTTATAAAAATATAATACTCGTTATATTTGATAAATATGAAACAGTAAAATAAATTATAATATATTTTGCTCGATTTAATTATATATTCTCTTTGCTTTTTTTTATTCTTTTTAGTGTACATGTACTGGAAACTGATTTCATCGCCTTCATAAAATTCTGTAAAACATTGTTGATTGCTTTATGTTAAAATTTTAGTAAATAATTCATATACCAATTCATTTATGAGCTACTTGTGGAAATAAAATAAAATAAATCTATGCACAATAAAATAAAATTCTCTTACCTCATTCTCATCGTAGATATCTCGGGCTTGGGAATTGTAGGATGGTGTTTTGGTTGTAGTGCCTGGACTGCCGTACAAAGCGTCTCTCACTTTATCAATTTTTCCTGCAAGAATTTTTATTGCTATTTATAAAATATTTCTAAAGTTTACTGCAAACGTATGTTATTTCGTCAATTTTGACAGTTTTGATGGGCCTTAAATTAACCTAAGTTCAGTGCTCGAGATTGACACTAAAAAAACTGTTAAAGTAGTTTTAGGCTAAGTTAATATGATACAAGATGAAAGTAAATGGCAATTATTGTCTACATCACTCGCGGCGCTCTCCAGCCTGCGCGCAAGATATATGCCGTCATGTGAATCAAAAACATGAAATGCTTCACGCGGTCATATAAACTTAGCCTTACTCGCTGGTTCAGCATGTGTGTGGTAGTAAGGCCAATTTACATTGCCGCGGAACGGAATGGAAGTGAATTTTTATAACGAAATTGTACACGGTAAAATGAGGTTTATGTTAATTGTGTATAACGTGCAAACTAAATATGAGCCTTAAAAGAAGTCGCGCGTCTTCCGCGGAATTTTCGCGTATTCTCGAGGCTTTCCGTAACTACTGTCGGCGCAGTCCGTGGAATCCGCGAGAAGTGGCGCGAAGGATGACGTTTTCGTTTCTTCCATAAGTCATAAATCCAAATATTTCTTTTCCTTTTTTTTGATATTTTCCCTTTTCTCTTTATTTTCTTCTTATTCTGCCTCAAAAATAAGCCATATGAATACAATATCCAATCAACAATTCTTGTCAAATAAAAGATCTAGATAACCGAACGTCTTCTATAGTCTTAAGGCGCAGTCGCGGAAACGCTCGAGCATTCACGCGACAAGGCGAAATTGACGGTTCGGTTCCGCCGCAATGTAAATTTAGCCTAAAGATATATCAAATCACGCACACGCACATGTACACGCAAACGCACGCACACACGTGTCTTTACAATAATGCGATGCCCGGAACCATTTTCAATTCAAGGTTTCCTATTGAACTCATTACAGCCCATAAAAGTCCACTGCTGAACATAGGCCTACCATATAGACTGCCTCATAGGGTTATTTTACCATAGTTGCCATGACGTGCAGGTGGGTTAGCAAATGAAGATTTTCTATTATTTTGAATTTTTATCAGGAAGATGATGCTTCCCATCTCCTGTGTTAGGTTCCCTCTGTCGTCTCTTACGACTCCTCCTTGATGATATGCAGTAGTGGTTTATCTTTCGCCGCCACTACACGATATTTCCCAAGGAAACACTGCAGCATTATCGTTATATTTTACGCTGGTATTTCTGTGAGAGGGTGGTCCTTCCCAGTTCAGCCAAGTCATTCGGTCTGCAGTATTCATTTAGTTACTGTGTAGCGCTACCACGTTATATAGCATAAGCGGAGGCCTGTGTCCACTAGTAGGCAGAATCTAGAGTCTTAATTCTCACAAATACATACACTAGTTTACAATTTGAGTAGTACTAATATAGTTTGTAAAATCCAGAAGTGTACGCCTCATGAGCGTTTCATTTAAATTTTGATAAAAATAATATTGTATTCCTGACTTTTAAAATGCATATATCATCATTTTCATCATTACAACCTTTCTTAAGTCCACTGCTGAACATAGGCCTCCCCCAAGGAATGCCACAAAGCACGGTCCTGAGCCACCTGCATCCATAGACTTCCTGCATGTCTTACCAGGTCGTCACTCCATCTCGTGGGGGATCGCCCTACACTTCGCCTACCGGTACGAGGCTGTCACTATGCTATGCTGCTAAAATGCATATATAAAATTACATAAATTTAACTCTATTATTTTAACAGGTAGTGACACCTACAGGGAAAAATTAATAATGTTTACCAAAATAACTCGATTACACAAAGTATAATATCAAGAGTTAAAAAAATATAAAAGCACGTTTAAATTTTTAATAGTAATAAAATTTATAAAAGTTAAAAATCATTTGATTAACAAACTACGCGTACTAGGCTATTAATATGAAATAGGGAACCAGTTGATGTAATTCTGAAGCTAATGAAAAAAAAAAACCCGGTCTCGATACGTAAATGTTTTCGGGAGTTATCGTGACTAGGTACGAAAACAACATCCAGACCTTCACGTAAAATTTTTGTTCAAACTGTTTTTTTTTCCAAGTAGCAATATAAAATGATTTTTCAGAAAATATAAGATGGATTAATTAGAGTAGTTTCTTGGTATACGGCTACTCATATTATCGTATAAGTGCAATATGTATAAAATTGCTTGACCTTGACGTATTCAGTCTAATAACGCTTTGCGTTATGAGGCGTGCAATGTATTTTTGTATATTTTTCGTCACAAATTATTGTCTCTTTTTTGTTTATACTTATTTTTGAGATAACCTGTAATTATGTAAGTACTATACATATAAATAATTTGTTGACTTTACCAAGCGATAGTTTGTAGTACGATGGGATGTTAAAACAGTTCACATAATGAAAGGGAAAGGAGGTGAAGTTAAACATGAAATTATTTTTCTTTCTCGACATATTCTCCATTAACCTTAACTCAAACTTCTCAGACCGTTCAAATAACTTATACCTTCGAAAAAATCTTTTGTAAAGGCCCTCAAAATAGGCAGAAATTACCGAGTTCACTTCTACATCACCTATAAATTTCTTTATCCGAAGCTCTTTTTTCATATTTGTGAACAAATAATAATCCATAGGACAACATATGGACTATAAGGAGAGTGATTTAAAGTTTCGAAGTCGCACTTGTGTAAGGACGCCATCGCAATATGAGTCTTGTGAACGGGTGTGTTGTCGTGCATGTATGTAAAGTATGAACCCGTTATTGGCACTAAGCATCATTTAAGAATTTCTGTATATATTTATAACATGCTGTTTGTTCTACGCTCAATGAAGAAAAAAATAATCTATATAAATAAAATGATAGAGGTTTGTAGTTGTGCGTGTATCACGGAAAAACTACTGGATAGATTTCAATTAGGTTTTCTAAGTTTTGTTTTTTGAACACTTGGCCCTTATCTTAAAGAAATACTGTGATATCTTCATTTAATATAAAGTTTTAAGTAACAACGATTTTTATGCGGGGTCTTTCACACGATAAACTGTACGTCGCTTGCTAAACTGCTAACCTGGATAACAAAAAATTTTGTAAGCAAAGTATATTCTTGCTTGCGATCTTTTTGATGTTTTTTTTTCCTTCGCACATACGAAAATTTTGTTAATATATCAAGCAACGCGAACGAAAACGTATATCGGCTAGTTATAAATATTTATATTTTCACATTTAGTCTAGAACAACTTACCTCTCTGCCTGTTTTTAGAATTCTTTCTGTGATCGCCGGGGCGTTGCTCGTGTGATTGATCATCGGACCTGCCACCGACCATTGCTCTGTAGCGTCCGTCCGTCCTGTCGAGCAAAAAGACAAATGTGTTTTCGATTTCCAGACGAAAAAAGTTAAGACAAAAGAACAGAAGGCGTTTAGCGACGTGTACATTAAATACATACATAAACATTCATGTCAATTACCCGAATCGTAGGCAGAGACAACGACCAATATTTATAGGCTGTGTGTTTAGCCAACAGAAGCATCTGTAGCTTTATGTTTGAAACTGGCTTCAGGTATCCATAGACTGTAGCCATCAGGTGAAGTGTAAGTTTTTCACTTAGTTTTTATAAAAAAAAAAAAATAATAAAATGGCTCACCTATCAGACAGCGAAGATGAATCATCCAACACTTTATTCCGATCGTGCTCTTCACTAGATGGCATCTCTCCAGGTTTAGGTTTGACCACCAAAGTTAAATTGGCACTGGATCTGCCGGCTACACACGTGTAGAGACCGTGGTCGCGAAGTGATAGGGACGTTATACGAAGAGCACCCTACACAAAAGCATATTATGTTGGTTTTTTGAAGATATTTCAATGTCTGAGAAATTATATACATAAGAGAAGAGAAGAAATTTCTAGCCAACTGCGCAGGCCAGGGTTATAGAGCCCAAGTGTATGTGTAAGCACAAGTGCACTCTCTATTCTCTAATTGACATGATCTGTTGTGACGGTAATCCGACACGATCGGAAAGAAATAAGGCGCAAAGTGCTTAACGTGCTTTCCGAAGAACGAGAGTGAAACACCGCTAACTTAATTACTCCGGGTTACAACTGAGAATTTCTTTTTTTTTAACTTATTATAAGCCAGTGCTCGACCACAATCTCACCTGGTGGTAAGTGCTGATGCAGCCATACGCCCGAACTTAATAACATATCTCTTTTTTTAAGATTAAAGACAATCCGAGATTGTACCCTATCCAAAGATCGATCTGAATACACATCTCAATAACATATGTTAACAACCCCAATCTTTCTTTTGCGGAGATCGCAGTCGATCCAAACATCTATCCGATTCCACTCTACTGTTTCGTTGTATGCATAACGACTGTTGTTTCATTCAAATAGATGTATTAATATAATAACATAAAATGATATTTAAAATTTATTACTATTGACACTAGTTATACGTTATTACGTTAGCTACTTTTTTCTCCCTGAAATTTTTAAATTATTATATTTTTATTAAATCAATGTAAATCTATAGTAAGAACAAAAATTACATAACGGAACGTCGCCTGTAAGTAAGCGTCTCCGTAGCGTCAGTGCGTCGGTCAAAAAAAAAAACGGTCATTGTCAAGTTTCACTGCTTAGCTTCGATCGTGTGTGTTTGTTATTAATTTTTGAGCGTATATAAACCTTTTTTCGAATTACAACATAAGAACAGAAACATATACAGCAAATATATTGTGTAAAATAAATGAAAACACGTAAGAGTTTTGAACTGGAAGGATTAATCCGAGGCTTTTCTCGGATTGCGAATTTGGATTGTTTACACCGATCGAACTAAACGTCAAAATTAACAGATAGGTTATTGATACACACAAACTGTCATTCACCCACAGATGTGTATCTTTTTCTGTAATCCGACCTCCCAAGGATAGCTTGCTTCTGCAGATAGTAATTTTAATCTCTGGATTGATTATTGGCACTGTCTAACCATAAAATGGATTGAATTATCAATCTTCGATTGCTAAAAATAGATTAAGATCGAATATTAATTTCGGGCGATAGATGGTAAATCGCACTGTCTTAGCGTAACAAAAGCTTATTCATTATTGCCTTAAAGACGCCCACATTGTATTTGTGTTTTTTTTTTGATAGAAAAACTCACTAACTTATTTATATGATATATTATATAATAGGATAGGATATATCTAAAATATATTCCAAATACCATAATATGATTTGTTTTTGTTATCATATATATTTAAATATACAACATTCACACATCGATTCGGATGATAATTATTTAAAATCCATTATTAGTTTTGAAGTTATGAGGCGGCGCATAATAGCCTAGATAATATTATGTAATAAAGTGTACTCTATTTGGGTTTTTTCTTATGGAATAGGGTGACAAACGAGCACACAGTCCACCTGATGGTAAGTGCATGCTGTGGCACATAGACATCTATATTTATTCTCAATTATGAATCAAAATGCTGATGTGTTGTCTCCCGTGAGGACTAAGATGGAATGCCTCGTTTCCAGTAAAAAGGGTCTCCGGTTCTCTACACTTACCATACGAAACAGCAGTATTAAGCTGCTATTTTACGCTGATATACTGTGAGAGCGTGGTATTACCCCAATCGACCTGATCCATTCGTACTACAACCATAATGTAGCTGCAGCGTGGCTCTACTATGTAAAAAAAGGTTTCACCGTAGTCGGTTAAACACCACTCACCTTCTTTGAAATCTTATACTTTCTCGACTTTGTAATAATCTGGTGATCCTTTGCCCATTGTATCTTGGTTCTATTGTATCCCTTGACAGGGCATTTAATTTTCACTTGGGTCCCGTAGAAAATTGTCGCTGAGCCCCCAACTTTCACTGTCACCTTCAACAACAAATTAAGATTACATTGTCATTTCGATGAAAATTTATACGACCACTTGGTAGCACAGTGGCATTTGGTTGGGGCAATGTAGGGACTTGGGTTCGAACCACGCACGCAAAAAATGTTTGTATAAGCTAAGCGACAGTAGCCTTATAGTTAAGGGTGTGAATTGCAAGCTAGTGATGGGACTCGAGCCGTGTTTCACTCGAGTCACTCGAGTACCTTTTATTTTACACGCACTCGAGATCACTCGAGTGGCTAGATGGTAGGTAAAAGCGAGTGACTTAGGACTTGGTAGTAAGTAAAATTCAAGTTATGACAGGTTTAGCCGATGTATCTTCCATTTGAAATTAAGTACAAATTTGTTTATGTGAGTTGTTTTTTTTTAGTAATATGTTTATTTAAGACTGTTTGCTGTTAGTACGTGTTCGAAATGAATGATAGATAGCTTTTTTGAAACTTTTTATGACAGAATTGTTTAACAAAAAACAGTTATTTGTAAGTTGTGGAAGAAAGTTACAAAGACTTTGGGAATACTACCTTCTTGATTTCTCATAATATAATAATATAAAGCATGAACATCAGATTCAGTGCAAGGATATTAGGGGTGAGTCAAATTCATCTCCTGCGTGTTCTTAAACTACAGTGAAAGTTCTGCTTTCATTTCTACCGATTTCAATTCTACATTAATGAAACGGCGTTTTCAGCAACTAAGGCTTACAAGATCTAAGGCATCGCTTACAAAACAGAAACAAAACAAGTATAATTTAAAATTAAAAATTTTGTACAGCCGACTTCAATATAAGTTATAAAGAATAACTCAAAAACTATTGGTCAGACCTTGATCAAATTTATATGGGACCACATGAAAAGCACCAGCTTTCAAATCAAAAAAAGAACCATCGAAATCGGTTCACCCCGTGAAAAGTTATGAGGTAACACACATAAAAAAATATACAGTCGAATTGAGTACCGTCTCCTTTTTGAAAGTCGGCAGAAAAATCTTAAGCTCTATATGTAATCAAAATGATTTGTCAAGACTTATAACCTTGACAAATCGTGGAAAATAATGGTGTTATTTGTTTATGACAGGCAAGTAACTGGAGTGAAAGAAAAAGTCACTCGAGTTTTATCTTCATTCGAGTGGCACTCGAGGGACTAGGCTATCAGTGGCGAGTGACTCGAGTGAACAAATTTCACTCGAGTACCATCACTATTGCAAGCACAGAAATTCGTGGATTCATATCCACCATTCGGCTACCGTCGTAAACCACTCCTAATATAATCATTAGCACAAGCTTACTTAGAGTGGTTCATCCATTACAGTCTATAAAAGTCCACTACTGTCCATAGTCCTTTCCCATAGATTACCTCATAAATTTTGCCATAGTTACCATGCTTGCCAGGCGTGTTGCCACCACAGTTTGTTATAATTTTGAGTTGTTATAAGGAAGATGCTGTTCCTCATCTCCTGTTTAACTTTCCCTCGATCGCCTCTTACGACACCCACGTTTCTGTATGGAGTAGTAAACTGTGCTTTAATAGCATGGTTCTTCCCTGGTCTAACCCCTAATAAGTAGAATATTCTGTCTTCAGTTACTAATAAATTAAAAACGATACAATAACATACAATACAATCTATCCAAAGTCCACTGTTTTTTTTACAGGATAGGCTGACAAACGAGCACACAGTCGACCTGATGGTAAGTGGTTGCTGTGACCCATAGACATCCACATCTATCCTCAATAAAGAATGAAAATGCAGAAGGGTTATCACCCGTGAGGACTAAAATGGAATGCCTCTTTAAAAGGGTCGCCGGTTCTCTACACTCACCATACGAAACACAGCAGCATTAAGCTGCTATTTTACGCTGGTATTTTGTGACATCGTGGTCCTTCCCCGGTCGAGCCGAGCCATTCGTGCTGCTATCCATCTCCTGGTTCAGTTTCCTTCTGTCGCCTCTTACAACACCCACTGGATGATATGGGGTAGTAGGTATTCTTACAACGCCACTTCACGGTTATATATTAATATTATTACATTAAAATTACCTTCTTTTTCTTAGGATCATGTTGAATGTAGGAGGAGTTGGCCAAAGATATCTCCGGTGATGATGTATCTAGTAGGCAAGGACGGCTGTTGCAGGACTTTGTTGAGGCCGGTTTTGGGCTGTTGCACAAGGAAGATGGCCTTTCGACCACGTGTGACTGCGCCATGATTTGTTTACACTCCACCTGTTATTTGAAATTGCAACATGCATTTTGTTAATAAAATAAAAAGTAAATTGAATGAAACTCAAGCATACAAACTGCAAGACATCAAGATACTACAAGCTCGTTCTGCATAGATCGGACCAAAATTAAGAAGGAAGAAGGAAGTTAGCCGTGGTTACTATAATATTAGGATGTTGAAAACCTCATCCCCCCACTCCTGGACCATGGGTGCTGTAAAGTACTCGAAACGGCGGGTGTTGCGGCCACACCGGAACACATCTCATCATCGACAACTACCGTAGCATACTGACTGCATAATAAAGTATATTTATAATTTTATTAATTATCGTATCCCAAGCAGATGCAATCCGAAACCCAAACATACTTCTGCAAGATTTTAAGATACTGCAAGCTCGTTCTGCGTAGATCGGACCAAAAATTAATAATTAAAATTTGAAGGTATTCTTCGCTTACTATGACATTAGGAACTTAAACACCTCAGTCCCCTCGTGCCCATGCGTGTTGCAAAGTGCCCGAAACGTCGGGAATTAATAAAAATAAAATTAAACTCGATAAAATCCATAGAATTTGTTTTATTCCATACCTCTCTTTGTTTTACGCCTCCGCCGCAGGTTTTGGAGCATTTTGACCATTCACCTGTGTGCCATTTGACAGGACAGTCCAGCACATTGCAATACTGACGGTCTGGTGGCGGCGGTTGAGGGCACATGCTGTTTGGTACTACCACTGTGTTTGTGCCACCACGTGTCACCTAAAACAAAAGGAGGAAACGACGTACTCTTATTATTTATAAATGTATGTCGCAACCAGCCAGTCAACTAAAAGTAATATAGCTTGGTACTATTCTTTGTGCCATAGACTTAATTGACCGCCCGTATATTTATCATATAATTTTAGCGAGTAATTATTGTATATATGTGTATACATATTATAGTTGGTTTTTCGAAAAGGCCTCTAATGATATGGATGAAATTTTGAATTTAGATAATGTTTTATTTAAAAAAATATCTCTTTAGGTTTTAGCCCTGAAAAAAAGAAGTGAGACGATCACTCAGTTACTTTAATTAGACAACCGTTTGGTCGAACTAAAGTAGTGCATATAACTTAACGTTTGGGCTGGCTGAAAGTAGGGTCTTTCGAAACAACCGACTCAAGATTCACAGAAATGCTAAAATTTAAATTACTTTTTCTACCAATTAGTCCTTACGCAAGACGGTATGACCAGATTATATAGTTTTAATATATTGAAATGGTAATTTGTGATAATTGTAACAACAACAGACGTTACAAATTATAAAATGCAATAATATTTTTGACATAATATTGAAAAATTTGAAAAATACATGACAAACATCACAAATTGTTATAATTAGTTCAACCAGATAGCTACATATCGTCCAGCTTTTTTGGTAAATTTTACGTTAAGATATTTGGCAATATTTTATAAGTAATTCAATTCGACACCAGCGTTTCTCCTAATGGCCATCCATGAAATAAGCCGCCTTAATCTGTCAACTATCTATCACTGGCACTAAATTGAAACGCATAGCTTGGCCGTTCGTCTATCATTTAACGTTTAACGAGTAGGCTGGTTAAAATTTAGTCCTTTGGATAAATACGAAAGCACCTTTTTAGTAATATCAACACATTGATATTCGATTGGGTTGATATAATAAATTATATCTATTCATACAGGGTTATTTTTAGGGCTGATTTGAACATCTGGCGGTGACACCTACATAATCTTACTTAATTAACAAATAATGTTACTTACTTCGTGGATGCACGTCACTTCTCTAGTTTGTATTCCAATGCCGCACGTTTTCGTGCATTGTGAGAACTCCGTAAAATTCCATCTGTAGGGAAAATATGTCCAAGGTTATTTTAGGTTTAAAGGAATTTATTGTCTTAAAAAATTACAAACTTCACTTATAAGACAACTTAAAACTAAAGAAGTGTAAAAGAACATACAAGGTGATGTGAGACATGTTCAAAACAGTTCCAACAGTGAAAAAATCGATTTAAATCTTCAAAGAATCGAATTGAATCGTTGCAATGTCAATGACAAACAGTCATCATTCACGAGGCTATTTAAATTTAAAAAAGAAACACCCCAATTTCTATAAAGTGGCTGGGTACTACTATTTCATCTCTATGTGCCATGTGCTCCTGGTAGATTATCTTCTGTACATCCATCACAGCCTATAGAGTCCACTGCTGAACATAGGCCTCCTCCATAGATTGCCTCATAGGGAGGATATTTGCCATAGTTGTAATGTTACTGTTGATTTAATAATTTCACCTCTCAGTAGGTCTTGTGCTCCTGGTAGATTATCTTCTATACATCCTACCATTATAGCCTATCCACTGCAGAACATAGGCCTCCTCCATAGATTGCCTCATCAATTTGCCATAGTTGCCACGCTTGACAAGCGGGTTGGCAACCGCCGTTTTTTTAATTTTTCGTTATTAGGAAGATGCTGCTAACCATCTACTGATATGTTTCCCTCTGTCGCCTCTTAAAACACCAACGGGATTTTCAATAAGTATTCTGGTCATCTATATTGAATGAAAATGATTTTATTCTATTGGAAACTACTAACCTGGGCGGACAAGGGTGATCGTTACACGTCCTTACTCTGTTCTCCGGTTTCGTCAGCGGGTCACACATGTATGGAGACGCATTCTTTCCGTCTTCGTCCCTTACACATTGGATAATCAGCTCCTAAATAAAAAAAAAAACATACATGAGTGTCGTCGAACGAAGTTCCTTTCGTAGTATGTTATTATTGATAAACGTATTAAATTATTGATTAAAAAATACAAATAAATGAATTATTGGCGTCTATTAAAATGAAGTGTTATTTAAAATAAAATAATATTTCTTTCATGGCAAGATAACAAAAAATGCGATGGAGATGGATATTATTCCATCTCGTCTCACTACGTCAGAAGGGTTCGTGACGGAAAAATCCGCCAAAACCATATTACCACGTTTTCAATTCTGAGCTGTGTTTAAAGGTTCAAGTATCTAGCTCATCAGCAAAAAAGGTTTACGTAGCCACGAAACTTAGTTAATAAAAAAGTGGTCAAATATGCTTGCATAGTTGTGTTCCAGTCGGAAGGGTATAGTGAGCCAGTATAATTACAGGCATGTGTGATGCAGTCCATCTTAGCCTTCCGAGGTGACAACGCAATATTTGTAGCCTACTTCGTTCGAAGTTGCCTACACGTGTCCATCTGCAGTAGTCACTCCCCATCAGGTTAGTTCGTTTGATACTTCGGATTGAAAAAATATTGCTTCGCAAAAATATTTATTTTAATTATACGTAAATTTAAGATAAGAATTTGAAACATTATTTATTAATATTAGAATATCAAACCAGATAACAAGCCACCTGATGGTATCTGGCTAGTGTTGCCTATAGACATATTTGAGGCAAACTCTAAGTAGCGGCACGAAAGTCTAGCGGTGACCGTCACGCTGATTGGTTTATTGCGCATAAGCACTGATGGGCTTGTGCGTATCATTCACACGCGCTGATTGGCTCCTCCAGTCGCATTCGCGTAATTCAATTCGTGAGCATTCCCTCCACGTTTCGTTCAGCGCTTGATTTACGCGCCGCGAATTGTACAAGGCTTTATGCGCTTTTTAACTCCTGAATCCTGTAATAAAATGTCGCACATGCTGGCTTTTTACCCTTCCAATTGGAACACAGCAGTAGATACTCGGTGTTTTGGTATAGAAGAAACGGGTAGGTATGTAAGAGTACCATCTGACAGTGACATAGTAGCACAGTTATCCTTACCTGAACACCACTTAGACACGAAGCGCTGCAGCTTGTGTATCCTTTCTCTTTCCAGGAGTAGGATTTTCCAGGTGATCCTGGTGCCACTCGAATGTTACTTGAAGTTCCAAAAACTAAAGATCTGTTGATTAAAAAGAATACAGGCTGAGGAATATTTTATTAGTTATTAAGAAGTTATCTCTTCTATCAGATAAAAAATGAAAAGCGTTGGATCCTTAGTGCAGTGACATTGAGTTGCGGTGCTGAGAGCAGCGGGTTCGAATCCACTACGGAGTAAATATTGATATAAGTATGACATACATATAATTGTTCAGGGTCTGGATGTTTGTCCTTGTGCAATTTATGTATGTAAACTGCCTCCACGATACAATAGAATATCCTAGAGTGTGGTAAGATGTTACCTTAATAGATAGATACGCAATGGGGATATTAAAATTGTTTGCCAGAAAAAATATTTTTGATTATATACTGTTTTAAGAATTATTTCATAATAAAATTAAACTGAGAGATTACTACACTAAATTCTACAAAGCTTTGGTAATTTTAATAATCAATTTCGAAGAAATGAAAAAATTGCAATGTTTTATAACAAAATTATTATTATTAGTAACTGCATTCATTCGAGAAATTTTTATGTGTTCTGCCACGGAGATTTTATTTTTTTTATTTTTTATAGAATAAGGGTCACAAACGAGCGCACAGTCCACCTGATGGTAAGTGGATGCTGTGGCCCACTGAAATTTACATTAAGGTACCTATTCTCGATTGAAAATCAAAATGCAGATGCGTTGTCACCTTTGAGGATTAAGATGTAATGCCTCATTTTCAGTAAAAAGGATATCTGGTTGTCTACACTCATCATTCAAAATACAGCAGCACTACACGTGGTAGAGCCATGCTGCAGCTATATTACTGGTATATTTGTAGCACGAATGGGTCGGCTCGACCGGGGAAGAGCCACGCTCTCGCAAAAAACCATCGTAAAATAGCAGCTTACCGCTGCTGTGTTTCGTATGGTGAGTGTAGAGAACCGGAGACCCATTTTACTGGAAAAGAGGCATTCCATCTTAGTCCTCACGGGTGATGACGTATCTGAATTTTGATTCTTTATTGAGGAAAAATGTGGATGTCTATGGGTCACAGCAACCACTTACCATTAAGTGGACTGTGTGCTGGTTTGTCACCCTATCCTATAAAATAATAAAAATAAAAAATAGCATTAAGCTGCTATTTACGTTGGTATACCTGTGAGTGCGGGGCAAAAAAATGTGGGATAAATAATTTATTTGAACAGAATGTAAAAAGTATTTTAATATTCACGATGATTTTTTTTTATAGGAGAGGGAGCAAACGAGCATGCGGCTCACCTGATGGTAAGTGACTACCGCCGCCCATGAACAACTGCAACACCAGGGAGGGAATTGCAGATGCGTTTGCGATGCAATTGCGATTGCGATGCGAGTACGCTCTTTTCTTGAAGGTTCCTAAGTCGTATCGGTCCGGAAAAATCGCTGATGGTAATCGATTCCACAAGGAAGTCGTGCGAGGAAGAAAACATCTTCTAAATCGCACAGTGGTGGACCGCCAATCATCCAGATGGTGTGGATGGTATCGGGAGTTCTGCCGCGATGTGCGTTCGTGAAATTTGGTGGCTGGGATTAATCCGAACAATTCCTCAGAGCACTCCCCATGGTAGATTACGTAAAGTATGTGGTTTTTTATTTTTTAAGTTTTATTTTTATTTTTCAATGTTGTACCTATACCTTTAATAGATCATAAAATAATGCTGCTTTATTTCATATGGTGATAATTGATATATTGACCATTTGTTTTTAAGAGATAGTATTTTTTTATAGAATAAGGGTGACACCGTGTAGTGGCGGTGTAAGAATATCTACTACTCCCATATTATCCCTGTATCCCATGAGTGTCGTAAGAGGCGACAGAGGAAAACAAATCAGGAGATGGGCAGCAGCATCTTTCTGATAACGACTAAAAAGAAAAAAAATGTGGTTGCCAACCTGCTCGCCAAGCATGGTAACTATGACAAATATCCCCCCCCTATGAGGCAATCTATGGGGAAGGCCTATGTTCAGCAATGGACTTTAATAGGCTGTAACGGTAACGGTAAGGGTGACAAACGAGCACACAGTCCACCTGATGGTAAGTGGATGCTGTGTCTCAAATAGACATTTACATTCCTCGATTGAGAATCAAAATGCAGATGCGTTGTCACCCTTAGATAGAATGCCTCGTCTCCCCTAAAAATGGTCACCGATGCTGTACACTCATCATTAGCAACACAGCAAAATTAAGATGTAATTTTACACTATAATACTGCAAAAGAATGGTGCTATTCTGAATAATTAATTATATATTGTTATTAAAATATTCGTGTTGCAACCATTATACCCTACCACTTAAAGTACAAAATCATACAAAATACTTTTTTTTATAGGATACGGGTGACAAATGAGCACACAGTCCACCTGATGGTAAGTGGTTGCTGTGGCCCATAGACATCTACATTTATCCTCGATTACGAATCAAAATGCAGATGCGTTGTCACCCGTGAGGACTAAGATGGAATGCCTCGTTTCCAGTAAAAAAGGGTCTACTACTAATATTATTACAAAAATTTTGCAGCCAATCTTAAGCCTTTATAAATTATGAAGGAAAGGTCAATCTAATAAAATTATAAGAAGAACATTTACATAAAATACATAACATATAGGCAACTATTTCATTCAAACGTAACATTCGTAATCATAACACAAAAGTAGTAATATAATAAAATAACTAACTCTCTTTATAGAAATAACTAGTTACGATAATAAACGGTTTCCTAAACTACTTAAGTGTATGTACCCACGAAACTACTAAAACCAATTACGCACAAAAGACGTTACGACCCACGACTAGTAATAAGAAATGTTAGTCGAACAAAGTATTTTGTTTAAGTATAAGTTACGTGAGGGTAATATGGTCACCTTTAGCTTTGTCGCCCTATTAAACCAAAACTAGGAGGATGACAGAGACAAAAACACAATTTCGTATAATATAACTAATATATTTAAAAAAAAAGCAGACAAGATTTGGCAACATTATGGAACACTTCGAAAAATCAACTTTAAAAAAGCTAACTATACTACACAATACTAAAATCGACTAAATTATTCACTACAATATCCACTGTCAAAATGGTGTCGATGAGGCAGCGCCCTTTTGACCTTATACTATTTGATTGACTGACGAAAAGCTATCGTATCACAGAGCCATCCATGAAAACAAGGCCGGATGACCATGTTACCCTCACGTACTAATTAAAACTTTTAAGTATGGATTAAACAGGTTTTTTGCTACATATGTCAGTAGCATAATTTACACAACCGATTATGAAATCAAAATAACTTATGTTCGAATCATACGATATTTCTACATAGATAGAAGTATTTGCTTCAGGTCTACTATATGACTTAGGGTTGAATTTACGAATAACTTTTATCTGACGATTGAAAAGTCAGCCCTTAAAGTAATTTTTTTTTTAAATTTATTTAAGGCAACAAACAGTCATGTATAAAGATAGTAACATGGATAAATATTAATATAACTAAAGACCTATAGTGCCTTTAACTAAACTTTTACAATATTTAAACTTATTGAGCCACTTTTAGGACTAAAGGACATTATAAATTAATTTATTTATTAATACACTAAGTTCTAAGATAAGGTAACTAGTTAACATTTGGTGTCCAATTAAGGGAAATAGAGAAGAAAAACCTATGTTAAAAATCTGATTATTATACCACTGACAGATTCAATTCAGATTAAATTAGCGAATTGAGTGCTGCATCATTTTCAGTGATGGGTAACTAGATTATTCACAAGCCAAACATTGAAAGAGAGCGGATTTAAACTTTGATACTGATGTATTAAGTAATTTAAAATTTGTGGGGTGGCTGCCCTGATAGAGTGTGTAGCGTCTTTTCATATACTACGGTGTAAAAAGGAATATGTCAACTTCTTTAAATTACTCATCCATTGTCAATGTTATATAAAAAAGGAGTTTATATATAAAAATTACGTGTCACATTGTTTCTCCGCGAGGAACACCTAAACTACTGAACTGATTTCAATGAAATTTTGCACACTGTGTGCAGTTTGGTTCAACTTGAGAGATAGGATAGTTTTTATCCCGTTAAGTGACCATCAATTTTTTTATTGCTAATCTCAGGAGTTTTTTTAGGAAGCAAGTAGTCGTCGGAAAGGGCAGATCAACGTCGGCCTGGTCAATTAGTAGGTATATAAAACTTACGTGTCACATTGTTTGTCCGCGATGAACTTCGAAACCGCTCAACGGATTTTAATCAAATTTTGTAAATGTGTTTTTCTTACTTCAAATTGAGAGATAGGATTCTTAGATATAGATAGAGTTTTTATACCGATAAGTGACCCTTAATATTTTTTATTGCGAATTTAAAGTTTTTTTAAAGGATAAAGGGTTGTCGAAAAGTACAAAACACAGTCTGTCTAGCCCGCTAGTAAAACCTAATATATAAAAATTATTATTCTCATTAGATTTCGCTAAAACTTTATCAATTTATTGCTTGCAAGGTTATAGGCATAATCCAATTAATTTACAGTAACAAACAAAAAATTTGTTTGAACATTATATATCATTCAACTTCAATAAATATATTATCATTCCCAATTGAACAATACAAATCTTCCAAATTTAAAAAGAAATTTCCAAATTTTTTTTTCTTCTGCAACAGTAACGCGACGGGTATCAGCTGGTATAATATATAAAAAATCAGTTGGTGTTTTTAAGTTATAGCATATCACTAAAGTAATGTAATCATAAAGCATAGCATCAAATATATTATTATTTCTATTCTTAGATATCGACAGTTTCTGTGCATTATATCAATGTCATCGTCACTGTCATTTATATCAATAGACGTTTCGTCCCAAATAATTTTGTTTTTGTGTAACGTGCACCTTACGAAGCAATATTAGTGGCAATTTATTAGCTTCCGTTGCCAATACCATGATATTTCAATTAGTTATTTCGCCTTTAACTAATTGTATTTTTTATATTAAGATTCGCAATAAATTTTTATTCTTAATGATTTCTTATATTTACGCGAACACTACACATTTAAATAAAACTAATTTTACGGATTTTATCGCGTATATTAACATATTTGACCATGGGTGCTGTAAAGTGCTCAAAACGTTAGGAATATAATGTTAATTAATTAATTTAATGCAAATCCTTCCTACAACATTCATAACCTGCAGTGGACTGACGGGATGAATAGGATTGTAGAATGGGTCGGTTCGACCGGGCTAGGATCATATCACAGTATACCAGCGTAAAATAGCATAATGTTTGCTTTTTTTTTCGTATGGCGAGTGTAGTGAACCGTAGACCCTTTTTACTTGAAACGAGGCATTTCATCTTAGTCCTCACGGGTGACAACGCATTTTATTTCTTAATCGAGGATAGATGTAGACGTTTATGGGCCAATAACATACATTTACCCTCAGGTGAGGTCAGATAAGGTTCGTTTATCACCTTTATTCTATAAAAAAAAGAAAAAAGGAGCTACTTATATACCACTTGTATTAAATTTTTAGTTTTATAATTTACTCAATCCCATTATCATAATTTTAATAATGCCGCTTGTTTGTTTCAGGAAGATACAGACATTGAAGTCTGTTCTCTAGACTATCAAGCTATGCGATATTGGCGATTGATAATATACATTTTTTGTATATATCCACACTAGGATTTTTCTTACAAACATTAATTGAACAAGGATAAACTTCCAGACCTGGAACATTTATTAGTAGGCCATACAAATTATTGTTCCGTGCGGGATTCGAACCAGCGTGCCTCAACGCCGCAAATCAATGCTAAGCTGCTGCACCACGGAGACCTCAGTCAATTGAATTTTTATAATAAAAAAATTATGATTTCTTATATTTACTAGAAACTAATTTTACGGATTCTATTGCGTTTAATTTAATTTTACTTTTACGGGGAGGGGGGAATGAGGTGATTGACGTCCCAATGTAAGCTCATTTTGCGTTGATCGGCCTAAAGATTAATATTCAAAAACTGAAGGTAGCCGGGCTAACTATGACATCAGGACGTTACACCTCAGTCCCCCCGTGACCATGGCAGCTGCAAAGCACCCGAATAGAATCCGTAAAATTAGTTTCATTTTATTAAAAAAAAATAGCTTACCTATCTCCTGTCCCATATGAAGGAATACTAGAATCCCCAAAAGATGTTCCATAGGCCATTGAGCACGGCTCCATCACGCATCTTTCAGTTTCCTCCGTAGGTTTAGGCCCCATGCATTTACTATCTGGTAACTTTGCAATAGTTCTACTAAATTCTAAAAAAATCTTGCAGTGAACCTCCTTCTTCCTCCATCCTTCACCACACGTGGCGCTGCACGGACCCCAGTCATCATCTTTGATGTAACTAAAATTTATATACATGCAATATTAACTAAATTTAAATCTTACAAGTGGTAAATTTAAAACTTTGCACAAACGACTTCAATATGAATTTAATTTATTGTTGATTTTTTCAAAACCTCTCGACCGATTTCGGTAAAATTTAAGTGGAACCACCCGGGATGTATACCCTTTGAAACAATAAAAAAAAACAATTTTCAAAATCGGTTCAGGCATCTTTGAGTAATCGGTGAATATACATAAAAAAATTCCGACGAATTGAGAACCTCCTTCTTTTTTGAAGTCGTTTGAAAATAAGTACTAACTTACAAATGAACTATATGAGAAGAAAACATTTTAAAATTGAAATGTGTTGAGAAAAATTTACTGGCTATGATTTTAAATTAAACGGGCAGAAAGTTTTATTCTATTTTATTATCATTCATAGCACGAGACTAATCAATTCAATGGAAGTTTCATTCAATGTTTTGTATACATGCGGGTGCTCGGGATATAATAGGATTGGTCTTAGATCTATTAAGAAATAACACCTCATCAGTTCTGGCTGGTATATGTAAAAGTATGTGCACCAGTGTGATACTGTATAATTTTGTACTGATTGCCAATTATAACTTGCGAGCTTAAAGTCAAATTCAACCTTAAGCCTCTTGAGTTAACTGCTATAATACACTCCGTGAGCCGAAATTTCGCAAAATATGTTGTTATGTTTTTGTAAATGCCAGAAATGTCCAGTTTTGTATCTGAATAGTATAACGAATCAAATAATAAATAAATAACACAATGTGTGCAGACAGTGAAAAGAGTGCAAGGAAATTCAAACCTTACTGTGCAGTGCAGAGAGTAGAAATTAGACGAGTTGTAACATGGAAAAGTTGTAGAAAGCAATGATTTGTTACAGGCAAATGATTTTAAAGTTACGTGTGATAAATTTTAAAAATTTTGTGCATACGAATATTACGTAAATCGTCAAATAATTGCATTTTTTCTACTTTTTTAAATTTATTCATTTGACGTATATTATACAGTGATACGTTTACGCACCATCCTTGGCACATAGCGATGAGGAGGTGGAGGAAATGTATGAGGATATATCTAGAGTCATACATTCCTCCAAAACCCACTATACGGTGTTAATGGGAGACTTCAACGGGAAACTAGGCACAAGAGAGAACGGTGAGCTACGGATGGGCCAACAGCTGGCCGACTTCATGGAGAAGTAGGGACTCTTTATGATGAAATTTTTCTCCCAAAAGCGGCTCCACAGGAATTAGACCTGGTCGAGCCCGACGGTAGGACAAAATGAGATTGACTTCATTTTGACGACCAGAAGACAACTGTTCAGTGATCGCGAGGGTGAAAACCGGCAGCGATCACCGAATGGTGAGAGGCACATTGAACCTAAACGTTAAGTTGGAGAAATCACGCCTAATGAAGTAAACGCTCCGCCCTTTTGTGCTTTAATCCAAAGTCCCGAAACCTTTCAGCTCGAGCTACAAAACCGTTAAGACTGCAATGCAGTAGACGATATAAATGATAAGCTCGTGGAAACTGTCACTGCGATCGGAGCTAAATTTTGGAAGACCCGTTGAAGAAGTTTTAATATGTGGTAGAGCCATGCTGCAGCTATATTAGTAGTATAACTGTAGCACGAATGGGTCCGCTCGACCGGGGAAGGACCACGCTCTCACAGAATACAAGCGTAAAATAGCAGCTTAACACTGCTGTGTTTCGTATGGTGAGTGTAGAGTACCGGAGACCCTTTTTACTGGAAAAGAGGCATTCCATCTTAGTCCTCACGGGTGACAACGAATCTGCATTTTGATTTGTAATCGAGGATAGATGCAGATGTCTATGGGCCACAGCAACCACTTACCATCAGGTGGACTGTGTGCTCGTTTGTCACCTTAGTAAATAACACAAAAAAAACACAAAAACTGTCCGATCACACTCTTAATCTCATTAATGTTAGACGAGAAATGAAACTCCTGTCTTCAGTAGATTTGACAGCATACAGGCAACTGAACTGACAGATCTCCGAATACATGCAGCGGGACTTACGCAACTACTGCTCCTATTGAAGAAGCAATCGAGCAGAACCAGGGCTCCAAAATCTTTGCTAGAGGTCTGTCTGTCAGAAAGAGTCAACCATCGAAGGTGAAGATCGAGGGTGGCAGCGTCGTTTCCGGGACACCTGAGATTATAAGTGAGATTGAGAGATTCTATAGGCAAATTGTACAGAAGTCAGAGAAGTAAAATTTGCCACTATGTCTGACGTATGTGAACTATGAGAAAGCCTTTAATTCCGTCGAAATTTGGGCGGTGTTGCAGTTCCTTCAGCGCTGCTAAGTTGACTGTCGGTATATCGAAGTGCTGAAGTGTTTGTACAGTAGGGCTAAGATGGCTATCTGAGTACAAACTCGGAGTATGAAACCTATCCAAATGCAGAGATGTGTAAGACAGGGTGATGTTATATCCCCGAAGCTCTTCGTCGCTGCATTGGAAGACGGTTTCAAGCTTCTGGACTGAAAATGATTAAGGTATTAACATCAACGGCGAGTGCATCACTCACCTTCGATTTGCTGACGATATAGTCCTTATGGCAGAATCGCTGGAGGACCTAAGCACTGCCCTCAATGACCTCCATAGTGCATCCGAACGAATAGGTCTTAAGATAAACATGGACAAAACAAACATCATGTATAACGTCCATGTCACACCTATGCCGGTAGTTGTCGAGAGCCCTAAGCTCGAAGTTGTTGATGAGTATGTTTACCTGGCACAACAAATAGTCCGACTAGGTAAATCCAACTTCGACCGAGAGGTCAATCCACAGATTCAACTTGGTTGGGCAGCGTTCGGGAAATTACGGTACATCTACTCGTCACGTATACCTCAAAATTTTAAAACGAGACTGTACAACCAGTGCCTGTTGCCAGTGATGACCTATGGAACTGAGACGTGGTCCTTCACTACTGGCCGGATGAGGAAGCTCAAGGTCGCTCAGCGAGCTATGGAGAGGGCTATACTCGGGGTTTCTCTGCGTGATAAACTCAGAAATGAGGATATCCGCAGTAGAATCAGAATGACCGACATAGCCCAACGGATTAGTAAGCCGAAGTGGCAATGGGCCGGCTATATAACTTGAAGAACCGACAACCAATGGGGAAAAAAGGTTCTCGAGTGACGGTTTGGTACCAGCGGACAAAGCGTAGGAGGTCCCCCAGTAGATGGAGTGACGACCTGGTAAGACATGCAGGAAGTCGATGGCTGCAGGTGGTTCAGGATCGTGCTTTGTGGTATTCCTTGGGGGAGGCCTATGTTCAACAGTGGATTTGTAAAGGGCTGTAATGATGATGATAATACAGTGGTTTAATTAGTTATCTAATATATAAAATATAATGTTTGTTTTTTCGTATTTTATGCGCAGGCATACCGTTCATCAGATTGCGGTAAAACTTTGGTAATGTATTGCTTGCACTTTGCGCAAAGGTTTTAGGCATAGTTCAATAAACTTACAGTAGGTTGCGCGCGTATCGTACACACAAATTCATTTGAAAGTTGTTGAGTATTATTATATCATTCAATTTTATTGCCTGTATTATTATTTTTAATTAAACAATGTACCTCTTCCAAATTTAAAGCGACATTTCCACAATTTTTTGTAACTAGCTGTTACATATAAATTCATAAACTTTAATAACTACATATAAATTCATAAACTGCTTGTGCTTAGTTGAAGTCGTATTTTGTATCAAACGCAGCTGCTTACATGGAATTTATAGTTCAATAAGTGTTCCTCTTTTCAAATCAAAGCGAACTTGACAGTTACAGACACTTTTTAAACTAGGGTTCGTTTCATGAAAGAAGTCTTGCAGTAAATAGGTGAACTGAAATGTAAAGTAAGAATTTCGACAGCAGATGTCAAATTGTACAAAGACAAGTAACTCTGCAATCAAGTTACTTCTTTCGTGAAACAGATTTATACTCGTATATATACCGCTTTCTAGATCTAAGAAAAAGAAATGAGTCAGCGGGCGTTGGATAGTGTATAATGGAAGGGTATCGTCATTCATTGTTAAAAAATGTGTAATGTTATTCTGAATTCAAAAGTGAAACTTTTAAAACTTGTAGTTTTAGGTACAATACCTTACATACAACCAGCCACACGCAAAGAATATTTTGTAATTGCTGAAAGAAACAACAACAAAATACTCTGAGCTCTTTACAAACAGGGAAGACTAACACATATTAAATAGATATTTAAATATTTTAAATATGTCTGGCTGAGGACAGTTTCACAAACCATGCAGTTATAAATAAAAATAATAACATTATTAGGTCATTTCTATTGGATAAAATATCGATTAATAATTGTTTATGTCTTGAAACATATTATATAAAAAATACGATAAATTCTGGTATGTTATTAAACAATACAACTTTAAGTTAAAACGAATAAATATTGGATGAATAATTCTAAATATGTGAATTATATTTAATTAATTTCACAAACATTAATAGAATTACTTAAAACAACAATAATTATATAATATAATAACAATTAAAATTATTGAAAAGTTTTCATAGATAAACTGTAATGATATAAGTATTCTAGAAAATTCAGTTAAAAATGTAAATTAAATTAAATGACATTTTTAATAATTAATATAATAATTAAATTTCTGTTTTTTTTTTTAAACAATGACAACATTTTGTAAATTATATAAGTTAAAAAATAATATTTGGTTTTTATTATTCAATTAAGTGTGAGGTCATTTTACTTACGTAGCCTCAACGGGAACATCAGGTTCCCCAATCAATCTTTCGGCTTTGGCTGGAGGCGGAGGATACGGTTGGATAAGTGGCTGAGTATGATATACGACACCCGGCAGCAAATCTTCTATATCATCCTGTAAAATTAATTAATTTTGAAAACAATACTAATATAATTCGTGGAATAGCCATGCCACGGATACATTATGTTTGTAGCAATAATGGCTCGACCTGGGACCACACACTCACATAATACTGGCGTGAAAAAGCAGCTTAATGTTGCTGTGTTTCGTACGGAGGTGTAGAGTACCGGAGATCCTTTTTATTGGAAACGAGGCATTCCATCTTTGTGCTCAGGGGTGATAACGCATCTGCATTTTGATTCTTAATCGCAGATAGATGTAGAGGTCACAGCATCAGGTTGAATATGCTCATTTGTCACATTTTTTTAGAATAGAATAGAATCTATTTCTCTAATATAATTAATAATAAGCGTAATTCTAATTGAAAGTCATTTTTGTTACTTTTACCACTGATTACGAAAACCAAAACCCAGCGGGACATTTTATTTTATTTTATTTATTATATTTTTTATACAATTAGTATAAAATATTCAATAAAAGTACTACATTACAATAGAAAGTATTTATTTATTTATTTAACAGTTTATGACACACATAATGCGATAGGACAAAGGTAAAAACATAATTATGTACAAAGGCACTCCTTATTCCATGATGAAATTTCTTACAGCAGGCCTGTTGAATGATAGTTGAAGGAAATAGAGGTAGTCAAAGTGTGCACTTACATAAATATACATATACAATACAAATATATATTAAAATAAATAATATATATTATAAAAAATATATAATTCAATATATATATATATATATATATATATATATATATTTACAATATATTTTTAATGTTACTTGTATGCATACCAACATATTACGATTTAATAATTATGGAGTAAATGATAGTGCTCTTTAACAAGTCTTTTAAACATAGACACCGATTTAGCATCACGAATCCTAAAGGGAAGTGACTTCCACAATCGTAATAGTAATTTAATTTAGTGCCATCAGATTATTTTATGTTTGTGTTCTCTTATTTATCTATACTTTTGGTGTTTTTATGTACTATTTTATTTTCTGTATTAAAACTGTATTAATTTAAGTCACTGAATAAATGGATGTATATGTCTATGAGGGATCCTAATGAATTTTATCGAAGATTTTCCCGCTTCATTATAGAATAAACTTACGCTACTCTAAAGCTACGCTATTCCAGCTAAAACTTTATTTGCTTTAAATTTACTTTTAGTTCAAAGCGCGCACGCACACAAGCACCTGCAAAAATCCGACCGTAACCATATACGCTCTCATGCAAATATCCACGCACACATAGTTTAAAATATGAAGTAACCTCAGTGTCATCTGCTTCTCTATAAGCTGGGCAGCTGATTCCAGTTGAACAAGGTCTAGAGATTTCAGGTCTTGAAGCTGGGTCACATCCACCTCCAGCAGGTGTACATTCGACACCACGTACTTGTACGCCTTCACCGCAAGATACTGAGCACTGTAATGACATAAGAAATTAGGCTCCAGAATAATTAAAATATATTTAGGTATACATAAAGACTATGTATTTTTATTCGACAACTAGTTATAAAATTTAAGAATCGTTTCAACAAGAAGATTCAAGAAACTAAATTTGAACAACTTAAACCCCAAAGTTGTACCATCTGACAACTTTGGGGTTGAAAACAGGTTCGACAACATTTTTAAATCAATAAGTGTTATTTTTTTAACTTTGTACTAAAAAAAAATATTATCGGTACCACGTTTTTATTCATATTTCTATAATGTCATCAGATTCTGAGCTGTGTTCAATATTTCAAGTGTTTAGCTCATCGGAAAGTGCTCCTAATTTGAGTAGCAAGATTCCACCCGGAACGACAGACAGACGTCTGTCAAGACAAACAAGAAAGTGACTTAATAAAAACGTGGTAAAATAAGATTATACGAGTAGAGTAACAAAAGCAATCGTAATCATCTTATTTATTTGATGAAGTACAAACCATAAGGGAAGTATTAATTTTAACCTAGTTACAATTCTAACCTGGCACAGACAAAATCAATTCCTTTGGTAAAGACCACTGGTACTCGTATATTCCTTGCCGATATGAACCAAAGTGCCATTTTGAATCGCTATTATATGATAATTGTGAAGGACAAACACAAACGTATGCGCAAGTTCAAATTTTGATCTTCCACTTCTTACTGCAGAATCTTACACTACCCCAGATCTTTAAGTTGGAAGTGTTTTGCACACATCGAACGCTAAGCGGAGATGTGTGCTCTGTTGTTACCAAATCAAAAAATCGCGATCAACTCCACTTAGATCACTTCCACCAGCTTTATGTTGCACTTAAGTATATAATAAAAAAGTACACCAACATCAAGAAGAGATTCATCAGTTAATACTTTTGACGTAGTTACTATTTATTTCGATTCGATTATTATTTAAAAAAAGTTAATTGAAAATAATTTCACTTGGACGTCAGTTGGTCGGTATGGATGCGAAAAAAATGTCTTTCGAAAAACTCTCACTTTGATTTTTTTATTAGTTTTAGATTTTAATCCTTAGGAAGCTTTTTGAATTTCACTATTGTAGTCATCGATATATATGTACTACGTACTAGCTTGCGCATTCCGAACATACACTATGTTCAACTTAACTGTACTGCAATCCGTACAGTGTGTCATTTAGTGTGGTTTCAATCTCCTAGTTAGTCTGTGGTTTCAATATTCATGCAGTGTGGAGCGGCGCTAATAATACAAGATTTCAAATTAAAGTTTCAACCTGGACGTAAATAACAAATCAGTAGTCAAGTAAGTAAAATTATTTGTTGTTCCAGTGAATAAATACATAATAATACGAGTATCGTAATATTACAAAAGAAATATCATGAAAAAATATATTTCTTTATATAAACTGACCGCGCAGGCGCAACGCGCTTAAATCAACTGCGCACTTTACTATCTCCCACGCATGCGCGAAAACATGGAGTAGTACACATTTTTTGTTTAGAAAGGCTTCTCTAACACGTAGTACATATAACCCAATGATTGTAGTCAAAACATTACATGAGCGTTCGAGGCGTGCACTTTTGGATTTTCCAAATTTATTTTTACTTATTGCATACCACCTAGTGGTATTGTAGTCAAGCACGTCGTTGGTAACTGCATCGTTGGTGTAGTGGTATACGCGACTCCTGATCAAAAATTCCCTGGTTCGAATTCTGGGTCGGACCAAAAATCAGTTATTAAGTTTTTCTGTCAAGAAATTCTCAGTCTGGAGTAGGAAATTGGCGGTGTTTACCCCCGTGCCTCTGTCAGCACATAAAGCTGTTGGACTTGCGCCTGATCTCTCTCCAGTTGTATTGGATTGCCATCCTATCGGACTATGAGTGTGAAGGGATAGAAGCACCTGTGCTTGCGTATACACTCGTGCACTATAATTCTGTCCTGCGCAGATGGCCAGTATCCGTTGAGACGAGCCACAGTGACCAAAATTTACCGAATTTCAAGGACATTATTATTACGCGGTGGTAGTAGTAGTACAATACAATACAATAACTTTAAGGCATCAAGGACTTAAAAATTAAGATATAGCAATATATACCTCAACCTAAAATATACATATATATATATATATATATATATATACATATATATATATATATATATATATATATATATATATATATATATAAAATATAGACATAACACTATTTAGGGGACTTTCGTCTTTAGCGCGTGGAACCGATTTTGTTAAAACCTGTCTGAAAAAAAGCTCTTTTAAATAAAAAAAACCGCACTCAAATCGGTTCACCCGTTTAAGAGCTACGGTGCTACATACATACCCACAGACAGATAGACACACATAGTGGTCAAAGTTATTACACTCCTCTTTTTACATCGGAGGTTAGAAATAAAGTTGCAATAAGAAAAAATAATGAAAAATAAATAAATGTGTACTCCTGGTTTTAAGAATTAAAAGGAAATGCAGGTCGAGGGTCTTGAAAATTAGGTATTTGAAGAAACTATCGCTGTCGCCCTGCGAGGGCTCGGTGTCCGATAAGGACAACTGCAGATCCGACTGAATAGCCTAAGTAAAAAGGTATAATTTGGGGTTTGGCTCTCTACCATTTCTACCTACAATATTGGACCAATTTAAAAGATATTTCATAAACTGAATAAGAAGGTCACTGTGTCACCATATTTTTTCAGTATTACTTATCAAATTTGAACACTAGGCCTCTGTTCACAGTGGTCTTTGGCACTGTTGAGCATTTTGTGAGGGTTATAGTGCTTATACCGACAGCGTTATAAATTTACGTGGTACCACGCTGCAGTTATATTAGTAGTATAGTTGTAGCACTATTTTACACAGAATACCTGTGTAAAATAGTAGCTTAACACTGCTGTGTTTCGTGTGGTGAGTGTAGAGAAACGGCGACCCTTTTTACTGGAAAAGAGGCCTTCCATCTTAGTCCTCACGGGTGACACTGCATCTGAATTTTGATTCTTTATTGAGGACAGATGTAGATGTCTATGGGTCACAACAACCACTTACCATCAGGTGGACTGTGTGCTCGTTTGTCACCCTATCCTATAAAAAATGTATTATCAAAAAGGAAAGGATAGGGACATAGAAGAGGTTGATATTTATTTTACTGTAAAAACTCATTGGTATAAGGTCATTAACAAGACAGAAAACAGTCGAGAGAGTTTGTACCCGCACTTTCTCTTAAACGTTAATTTTAATATTAAACAATATCCAGCTCAGAATTCGGTATAACTACCATTCCAAGTAAACTTAAATGTTCGCTGGATTCAGCACAGATGAGTGTAACGCAAAATTACTATTGCCTACGACGCAAAATTCAACAACGCAGTGTTGACTACGCAATTCGTAACTTCATCGTGCGACACGTTCGCCACGCAAATACAATTATTAAAAACTCCTTTATAGTACTTCCGCGACAACATTACCTGAGGGCAAGTACTAACTGACATATATTTTTTATGTTCTTTTCTTTAAACATTTATTAATTTATATATTCTTACGGTTATTTAAGGTACGTTGGGGTAATACCGGACGGATTTTCGAATAGTTTGAAGAGTCTGCCAAAAACTTTAATTTCTCGACATTCGTATACGTCAGATTTATGGAACATGGAGCAAACCGTTAATCGTTAAACGTAGTTTAGCTCTGAGAATCTTTTGCTTGTGTAAATTCAACGGTTTCTGCTTTAAAGGTGTGCGAAAACTAGACATACTTTTTTATATGCATAATGAAAAATTGGCCATTAAGGGGTAAGATCGGACTTAAATTTAAAACCACTTCTACTGATTAGAGAAAAAAGTTTATAAAAGAGATTTGTCCTATCTTTAACGCTCAAAAACATATTTCAATATGATCTATAAATTACTAGAAACATAAATGTTCCAAACGATTTTCTCTTTTTTTGTTTCTTGCCATCCGATCTTATCCCTGATATAAAGAAATTGTAATTTTATGTTTCTCAAACTTTGTTATGACAAGATGGAATTACTCAATAAAAGAGAAAGATCGGATGCATTTGATTTTATATGGGAAAAAAAAATAACAGTAAGGACTGGCGAAATGCCCTGGGATAATGCAGGAGTCAAGGAAGATATAAATATTTTAACAAAGCGGCATTTATTATTATAAATTATTTTTTAAATAATTATTATAAATTACATTTTGATTTGTAATAGAGGATAGATATAGATGTCTATGGGCCGCAGCAAACACCTAACATCAGGTGGACTGTGTGCTCCTTTGTCACCCTTATCCTATAAAAAAAATGTATTTTAATGTGTACTTAAAAGTAATAAAACCATCGTATTATTTTATTACTTTTAAATATACAGACTTGCTAACGAGACTGAGTCCCATAGTCACTTGAGTAATCAACGAAAAAATATACACGACCAATGAAAGTTTAACAACCACTGCCATATTTGTAACAGGCAAAGATCGGATAATATTCATCCGATCTTCACTCACGAGGGGAAACATCGGATCTCGGCCTACAGCGATCTTAGCCCTGCATGGACCAGCTTTATTTAGCTATAACTTCATAAAAATTAATATCCAAACAAAATAATAACAAAAGAAGCCGTATTCTCGCTAAAAATCGTAAATAAAAGTGATAGGGAAAGATCGGATGGACAAAAATAATACAAAAATAACATTGTTTTATAAAATGCCACGCAGCACAGGTCCCACTTGCCGGAGTGACTGGCGCGAACTGAGGGTCGGGGCAGGATGAAATGGCGTCGTGTAGCATATTGTTAGCTTTTCAAAATATAGCATAATTCGCCGGGAATTTGAATCCTACGGTCTTGCCCCATCACCGATCTTACCCCAACGTACCTTATTTATTAAGTTTTTATGCATGTATAAAAATTATATATTATCTAAGTTTTTTTTAATAAAAACAAATAAATAAATATAACAATAAGTTTATGGTACCAACACTT